ATGGCAGAGTTTGAATATGTCATCCATCCATCAGCTGCTCATACATCTACACCCTGAACAACTGTTATTCTCATTTTCATTGCTCTATGCTTGCATTGGACATGCCTGACTCAAATCCAAGTGCTTCATTGACTCCTGCAGGTGATCATGGCCATCTGGAATATCAACCCATCAGTCTCAGTGTGGCAGATATTGCAGCAACATTATTAATGGCTGCATCATGCATCTGATGTCCTTATGAATCACCTACTTCAAAACTGGGCTTCAATGGGAGATCTCAGTGAGTCAATGGTGGTTATGTTGTAGTCCTTGCTGATATCACCAACAGACTTTTGTGACACCAATCCTGCAGTACTCCACTGCATGCAACATCATCTCGGTGATGCCAATCCCAGTAGCTCATATGCTGCTGTTGATCCCCCAGCAAACCTGGACTGAGTTTCTGGACCATGTTTTCATAGCCCACCCTTGCTTGGCTTGACGATCACACAGATCCTGCACATCATTGTGAACTATGATACTTCTTGGTGGATGGGGCAAACCACAATTCCCAATGAAACATCATAGTGATGGAATAGGGTGATGGAGTGCTGTGGATTTCACTATGACATTGGCTGGTAAGCATTGAGCACAATTCCCATGACAGCTGATGGATCAAGACATCCGGGGTGGTGTAGAAGATGATGGTACTATTCTTCCTGAGAGGGTGGTGGGACTTCGGTGGATTTGGGAACATATGCTGATATTGATGGAAGAGCAAAGGGAGGGCATCCAAGATAAGATGTGTTAGATTCAAGTGTACACTACCATCCTCGCCCAATTGCAGTGAGCCAGAGGGATGTTGTTACAGTAACATGAGTGTTACACATCATTTCATTCTTTGGACTCATCTAGACCTGGACCATGGTTATGATTCTATTTCCATCTCTTTTCTTTTTGATCTCGTTGTTTTGAAACACGAGAAGCTCTCGCTTCTACCCCTAGATCATAGAAGCTCCGGCTTCTCCCAAACCCTATGCCCTTACCACTATGCCGGTTCTCTTTCTTTGATGGGGATTCCCCATGCCCTTTGCCCTTACCATTCAACCGGTACTCTTTCCCCTTTTCTTACTTATGACTCACATACCCTTGACCCTTACCGATACCTCAGTAATACCTCTGCTTACCCTGTACCCTTACTGCTCAACCGGTATCTCACTTTACATATATATATCACTTCTCTTGTAGACAGATTCTCTAACTTGAATCTACTCGGTTCTCATCTGATACTTGTCATTGGGTCTGAACTTCTCTTATCTAAGAGAACTCCCTCTGTGCAAAGAACCATCTTCTCTTGAGATGATACTCTTGAGTTGAACTCCGTCTCTTGGATCGTATCCTCGACAAACTCCAATCAACTCTATGCAAGTAAGGGTCTCAACCCTTACTCAGACTTAGCACAGGCAAGCTCCTTGCTGGTTTAGCACCAAAGGCCACACTTTGAACGCCCCTTGCGGGTTTAGCGCGGCCAGATCTCATCTGAGAGGTTTCACGTAACAGATGTGGGACAGTGGATTGCAGGATTGATCACAGTCATGATTGTCCTCAGTGGTTCAGAGTCATATGATGGTAGTTTGCATTGAGCCTGTCAATATGTATATGTTGTAGAGACTTTCCATTATAAGTGGTACTCAAAATAAGTTTTAAAACTGTTGAAAACTCGCTTAAACACCAGCTAAACACGTTCAACTCTTGGCCAAAGCCTTGGCCGATGACCTAGAATTCAAAGTCAGGCAAGTGCGACAGGGCAGAGTTTCAAACAGCATGCCTCCTGCTTGTCAACATGTACGCCATTCTGCAAGACTTTGAGCTGACACTTGAGTGCACTCGAAGGCAATGGATCCCCCAGCACCTTCTATACCATCCTCTGAGGGACATTCTACCAGCATTTCTGAATGATCTGGACCCAGACTCACCATCCAGTGGCAGAGTGAAAGTGCCCTGACTGATGTATTGATAAACTATCTCACTGCTCACCCTGCTGATTGCAGGATACTCTTCTATTCCGATGGGAAGAAAGCCATTTCCCCTGTTGATGACTGGCCCTCGGGCTCGGACAAGGGGCAGATTTGCACCATTATCGCCAAGGTCATCTTTACCGGCCACCCAAAGTATGGCTAGGCATACCAGCACAATCAGAAGAAGTTCCGCAACACAGTCTCTAATCGCATCACAAAGTGAGTTCTCGTTTTCTTATGTGTACATATGCTGATCAAATCCCTCAAGTCTCAGATCAAAATACAAGAAGCTCAAGGCCTGATTCAGCGAGACAGGTGCTGGTGTAATGCCACTTGATGGGACAGCTTCAAAAAATTTGCTGGGTGAGTCTTTTGTCCCGTCTGTTCTTTCAGTGGGCATATTAACCTTTGTAGACTCCGTTCTAGTGGAGCTCCAGTGGTACATGGAGCTTGACAACATATGGTATGCCAATCCTTCAATGGCTGCCAAAACTCATTCATCCAAGCCCGGTATCGACCACGCTGCCATCCATTGCGAGGCTTCTTGAACAGGACAATACACCATGGCTCCAATGGATATGCACTATCTGCCCAAACCCAATGGTCGTCAGGCAGAAGGTCAGCATGCTCTTCATATAGGCAGGTAGATCAAAATGCAAATGCATTGTGGACACTCCCAGGATGACCAAGGGAATAGTCAACAATTAGGAGCTTATGAGGCAAAATTACAGCCTGAAATTGAATTGATTTTGAGCACATAAAAATAAAATAAAATATACTTGACAGCCCAGGGAATACTTGGATTTCCTATCAAAAAATGTCTCCCTGTAATAGCCAGGTTTAGCAAAAAGATCCATGGTTGAGCCATCAACAATTAGTGCAATTAACCACAGACCCAACACTCACACCCGTCCACTGAGTGACATCCTGAAGAGTAATGGCATTGCCATAGTGGCCAGCCCGATTCAGGAAAATGGCAAGCTGAATAGAGATAGGGAGCTGAGGATTGTTGGACCTGTTTTGAAAAATAGGGTGACCGGAGATATCATCAAGAATATCATCAAAAATCTCTGGGTTGACTCGAAGTTTCTGCCGAAACAACTTGGGGCAGTGTTCTTCATGGTGAACCAGCATATGAAGCTGAGGAGCTTGTGGGGGAGGCTCATTGGGCTTGTGTAGTACATGTGCCCTCTCAACCTCATCATGTAAAGCAGCAATGGTGTCATGGAGCCTGTCATAAGGCAAAGCACAATCATTGGAAGATATGGAGCTATCACTGGAAGAATCCGAAATCCCTGTCATAGGGGAGAGGGATGAGGGGGATGAAAGGGAGCTAAAAGACAGATTGATAGTGCTAATATCATCTGAAGTAGAAGAAAGCGAGTCCTCGGAGTCGGAGTCGGAGTTGGTGCCAGAATCACTGTCGGAGTCAGACCAATCGTCCAGAATATTCTGGTACTTTAGTTTGGCCAATGAAAGTGTAGCCTAATCCACAATATCCAAGATTTCTTTACGTGTAGATTGACAAGGCATAGTTACAGTCAGACAGAAGGGGGGGGATCAAAACTCCTATCTATTCCATGCATATGTGACGTAGTTTGTGTCAGAGTTTTAATTTTGGAAAGATCCAAACTTTTCTTTCTCGCGCTGAGCATGTTGCTGCCGTTGTCAACCTCACTCTCAAATGTCGATGCTCACTCGTAGCACTGAGCTGGACATCATCACATTTCCAGGTGGCATCCACCTAAGGTAAGTTTTTTTCATTTATTTCAAGTTGCAGCTAACTTTTATTTTACAGGAAATCTATTCTTGTCCGGCAGGTCCCATACCACATGACCCCCAGTGCCTCATCTTCGAGCCGCTCCTCCACCACCTTCTACACCAGCCTTCTAGAGGAGCTGTCTTTGCATTCATTCTGATCCGGCTGGCTTGAGGCTCTTGCCAATCTTGTGTGCTATCATATGGCCATAGCTGCGATGGTTACTAATAACCAATTGAAAGGCCTGGCACTGACTACAGATGCTGTATCTAAAGTGGCCACGGATATCGAGCCGGAGAAGGAGCACTTGGGAAAGAGTTCACCCTTCACCTGGTATTCTTTCATTTCCCTACCTATGGTACCTAGTATCTTTCTCCCCCTCCTCCTCCCCCCCCTTAGTATTACTTGGCTCGTTCTGTCCGGCTTTCCCTACCTATGGTACCTGGTGTCTTTCCCCCTCTCATCCTTCCCCCCTTAGTACTTGGTTCATTCTTTCCGACACTCCCTACCTATGGCCAATTTGCCCTGTGTACTGAGTATCAAGAACCAAGCACTGAGCACCAAGCACCAAGCACTCCTGGTCCCTGGTGCTTGGGACTGAATCCTGCCACTGAACTACTCAAAGGTCCTTGATACTCCATACTTACTACCTGGTGCTTAGTACTCAGTACTTGATGCTGAATTCTCAGTACTGTATACTTGGTACTCAGTGCTTTGTCCTCAGCTTCCATCCAGCATTCAAATTCTTCAATCACAGTTCAGATGCAGATTGATATTGCAAGATACAGCAAATCTGGACATAATGAAGAGAGAGAGAAGAAGTTGCTTGATAGGTCTCCTCCTGGCCGTGAGGGTACCAAGTTTGTGGACATGCCTGCCACAGTTCTCGATGTCACCAGTGCCATGATTGTGTGGTATCTTCCAGGTGCACTGATGGACATGACCTAGGTATTTCACCTCCCTTATTGCCCAATGGATCCAGAATACTAAATATACTAAAGGAAGAAATTTGAAAGGCCTTGCAATTGCTGACTCCCAAGACTGTCTCAGATCTGGAGGTATCTGCTTCATTGAAGGGTCCACTCTCCAAGGATATCCTCAGAGCTATTGCAAGGCCGGCAGCTATTGCATCAGCTGCACTCAGGGTCATGCATCCTCGATAGTATTGGGCAGGCATGCGAGCCTTTTCAAGCCTTGGTGAGTTGGCAGAAACCAAGAATCTACAGAAGATATCAGAGACCCTTGAGCTCTGGGCCTCCCTTTTCAGTACTCTCTCCATCATGTCTAATTGGCAAACCCCCTATCATCGAGACTACTTATCCTTTCCCAAGTGGTTTGATATTCTCACAACTGTGGAGAATTATTCTAATGCTCACATGAGCATGCCAAGCCTTCAGCTGAAGTTTATGTATGATCCTGGGGTCATGATAGCATTTTCAGGAGGGATTGTCAGGCATGGTGTTCATGAACTAGCAGGGGATCAGGTTGCTTGGGCATGGTACATGAGGGATTCTGTCCATATTTTTCCAGGTGTTCCTGCATGTGGATGGACAATCATGGATTTGGTAAAGACTTCATCTGATGAACATCTGACAGGCCAGGTCATTAGTATATTCATGAATTCCATATGTATGAGAAAGCGATTGAGCACCACACACTGAGTCAGTCCCAGGTCCCAATCACCCATCACCAACCACTCAGGCCTGAGTACCGAGCACCAACATATTCCAACATCCAGTATCACCCAATTAATATTATCTGCCTTCCTAGCCCATGATCGGCCCATCCATCTGTATAATGTACAGTCCCATTGTGTTAGTTATGGTGATTGAGCACCTTATGGTGTGAGTTATTTGTCTTATGATGTTGCTCACTCTATTGGACTCTGTCATATCCTACATATGCGCACTCCTAAATCACTATCAGTAATACCCCTAACCACGATCTCCAGAACTCTGAAAGGGAGCTAGCCTACACTTCACCTTCCCTGCTTCTCTGCTCCTCTGCTCCTCCACCAGTTTCTGGACTTCATCCACCTCTGTCCATATCTCAGTCCACCTGTGCCCATATCTCCAGTTCCTGTTCCCATGCTCATCAGCCCATTTCCTTCTCTTCCATAAGCTGGACCTTTCCCTTTCTGGATATCCCCTGTTCCTCTAGCTATTGGTTACGTACATTCCTATTCCTTCTTATTGTTCCATTCTCCTAGTTCATTTCCAACTTTGTTTATATGATCCATCTTTTATCTTAATCAGCTTTCCATGCGCTCCGCACATAGCCCCTGCATAGCCTTGGACTTTGCTTACTGATTCTCCTACATGATACCTACAGTATATAAGCTCCTGTAACACTCTGTACTTCCTCAGTTCAAATATCATATTAGTTCCTACTCATTCCTGTGTCTCTGCACTTGAGCTTTATATACCGGGTCCAAGCACCTCCAATACCACCTGTGAACATCCCCACCCCTGGTCCGACCCCCTGTTTTCCTGTCTGCTCCATTCCTCCTTCCTCAACAATGCACAAAGTGCATCTCAGCAGGATTAGCCCTGCTACCTCTGCCCGACCCAGTTCCACTTTTCCGACACTACCCCTATGTCCTCTGACACCATACCCCTTCCATCCGACCCTATCTGGGGTTCCACTCCTCTGCCCTATTGGTCCACCCGATCCTACTCCTACTCCCTCCGCTTTTCTGACCCGCTCGGTTCCACTCATCTTGTCCCACCCAACTATTAGTCTGTCCGACCGCCTCACCGGTCCCCTCCTAGACTAGGAACCACTCAACTGGTCCTATCCCCATTTAGTATCATAGTTCCGCTTTTCGGATCACTGTCATATACCTGATCCGACCACCCTAATATCAATATCCGCTCCACTTTCCGACCCCCTTCCACTCCATTCATCCTCCGCTCTGCCCGATCATCGTTTGTATCCGCTCCGCTCGACTGCTCAACCGGCCCCCCTCCATAACATCTCCATTCAACTGGACCTCTTTCCCATTTTAGATATATGCTTTCCCTTTCGGTACTTAGACCCTTACTTCCGGATCACCGGTAATTCCTATTACCGCTCGATCACTGATCCAACGCGTACATATTGATATCCGCCCCGACCTATGTCTTTCCTATGTAAAGTACTTACAAATGATATCCTTGGTACATAGCTTTACTACATAGTTATCCTGGTCACTGCCTCATACATAGAAGTATATAACATATCATGTACTTAGATATTTTCCCTTAGTCTTAATATTACTTGTCTTCTCGCAGTTACATCTTGTGGGAATTCTCAGTAGGACCTTGCCTCCTCTGGACACAAGTCTCAACTTGTTGTCACCTCCAACCCTCTGATCCTCTGCTCCAACTTAGAGCCGTGCTCTAAAGTCTCTTCCATATACTCCGCCCCTGTCCAATATTCTCCCTTGTCCCTCTGCATCATCCCCTGCCTTCTCCACCTCTGTCAAACATTCCCCCTGCTCCTACTCACCCTCTGCATCAACCCCCATCTTCTCCGCTCCGCTCCTAGTCGGCCTGCCGCTAGCAGCTCTTACTCCCCGACCCTCAAGGCGGACCAAAGTGGTCCATTTGTCCTATTGTCGGACAACGTCGGATCTGCTCCAAATTCAAGGCACGTACTCGGCTAAGGGCGCAGCACAAGAGCTGAAGCCAAGCCCTGACCCCTCTGCCTCTTGAGCCAGCATGGTACCTAACAATCACCGGTAATCCCTATACTTCCTATACCCTAGCGTTAGCTGGCCTAGGGGATTGACTCCCTAGGTCGGCCACCCTCCAATCCTCCAATCCTCTGCTCCTCTGCTCCTCTGCTCCTCTGCTCCTCTGCTCCTCTGCTCCTCTGCTCCTCTGCTCCTCCAATCCCCTGTTCCCCATTTCCCCGTTCCCCCATTCCCCCATTCCTCTGCTTGTCCGACTTCCCGTGTGTCAGAACTAAACCCTGCACTCTTGCATCCGTCCCCTCCATTCCGCTCTGCTTCAGACTTCATCCAAGCAGTCCCTTCCACTCCGCTTCTACTGTTGGGCGGAACAACCCCCACCTGACTTTCCTGTGCTCACCTAGTAGTCCGTCAGTCCTCCTTTAGAGGACCCCCGTTCAGACATCCTGTCAGAACTCATAGAACTTGTGTCGCACTACATTCCAAAATTAGGGGCACGTACTCAGGTAAGGGGCACAGCGTACGTGCTGAAGCCAAGCCCCTCAGACTCCGCTTTATCCCTGAGCACAGTCTTAACACCTGTCCATCTTCAATTCTACTCCTGGACTTGTCTGTAGTAGTCTTACTCTAGTTCTTCCTGAATCTCTGGAGTTGCACTGAACTCCTCCTACATCTGACTTCTGGACTTCCCCAGACTTCATTGGACTGCCCTCCCACCTTCTGGAAATTAAGGGCATGTACTCAGGTAAGGGGCACAGCACATGAGCTGAAGCCAAGCCCTTTGAGTTCTCCCCCCCTTGAGCTTGACCTTAAAAAACTCTTACTTAGCATGTGATGTGAATTCCTTACTTACTTAGGTAGTGTTTACACTTGTTTACATAGACTTGCCCATAGGTAGCAAGTCCTCTGTTGGTTGCTCTTTAGTAACTGACACTGGATTTTATTCTAACACATCAGCCCATCTGTCCATACAATTGACAGTTCCATTGGCCCATCCATCTCTATAATCGACAGTTCCATCAGCCCACTAATCTACCTTAATTTACTCATCTAAGATGGAGTTTCACACTGAATGGGGTCATTGATATTGATATCTGATGATCCTCTCTTGCATTTTTGCTGTGGTTTCATTTGTGTTGATTTATTGAGTAGTCACTACCTGAAGATGAGCTGCTGAACATGGAATATGAGGGCTCTGTGCTAGCCATGATAACAATAGATTTTATATACCAGATCTGACCGCTTTCAACATCACTTGTAGTGGGTTGCCTGACCCTGTACTATCCTGCTTTACCCTCACTTCTTCTCTGCTCATCTCTACCCATCCAGTCAGTCTGCTCAGTCATGCCAGATCAACCAGTGCTCCCACTTGGCTGCCTTGGTTAATTACTTCCCATACAGGTTCCATTCAACAGGACCTTTCTTCATTAGATATATAGTTTCCCCTTTCAGTACATAGCCATCCCTTTCACATCACTGGTTATTCCTATAGCCATCTGATTATTGATCTTTGTCATACATATTGATATCTGCTCTGACTTATATGTTTTCGTGCTGTAATCCTACTTACAAATTGTACACTCAGTACACAGCCTCCTTACCTAGAGTATAGAACATCCTGTACTTAGTCTGTATTCCTCAGTCTTAATATTACTTTGTCTTCACCAGTTTCTACTGTGTAAATTCTCTGTAGATCCTTGCTCATACTCCAGACACAAGTCTCACCTTGTTGTCACCTTCTGTTAGATACTGTGCTTTGATGAGGAAGCGGAGGGGTCGGGGCTTGGCTTCAGCTCTTGTACTGCACCCTTAGCTGAGTAAGTGCCCTGAATTTGAAGTGGAGCCAATGCTGTCTGACAATAGGACAAGTGAGTGGAGGCGACAACCAGGTGAGATTTGTGTCCAGAGTTTGAGCAAGGATATGCAGAGAATTCACACAGTAGAAACTGGTGAAGACAAAGTAATATTAAGACTGAGGAATACAGACTAAGTACAGGATGTTTATGTATTCTAAGTAACAAGGCAGTGATCAGTAATACACAGTAGAAGGCTATGTGCTGTGTGTACAGACTGTAAGGATGATTACACAAGGAAAATATAAGAGTTGGAGCAGATATCAATGTCTACAACACAGATCAGTAATCAGACAGCTATTAATAGGTACCGTGCTTGGATGGGGACACACAGGGGTCAGGGCTTCACTTCAGCTCTTGCGCTGTACCCTTAGCTGAGTATGTGCCCTGAATTTGCAGCAGGACTGATGTTGTCCAACAATAGTACAATGTTATTTGTGGTGATTGAGGACCTTATGGTGCAAGTTGTTTGTGTTATGATGTTGCTCACTCTATTGGACTCTCACTTAGCATGTGATGTGAATTCCTTACTTACTTAGGTAGTGTTTACACTTGTTTACATAGACTTGCCCATAGGTAGCAAGTCCTCTTTAGCAACTGACACTGGACTATAGGTATAGTACACTCATTGGTTTACACAACACAATAGCAACTGATGCTGGACTATAGTCCTGTTTACTCTCATTAGCTCACTTGTGGCTTGGTTCTCTCAGTTATTCTAACAGGTTATGAGCCCTGCACTTTAAGGACCTCAAGTCATTCATTCCTCATCCAACTACTGCTCCACTCCACCCCTGTCACTCCCTGTCCTGTCCATTGTCTTTCTGACCGTCCTGCATCATCATAGACCCTCCTACTTGTCACCCAGTCCCTTGCTATGTGACTATCACTCAACTCAGCTCCTCTAACTATCTTTTCTGGAGATCAGAGATGGATTCTTTGTCAGTGGCTGTGAGAAGCATCCTGCAGACTCACAGGCTAACCAAGTTGCTGGGGAACTCTATCTGGCTTGCCCAGTTGTTAGATACTGTGCCGACTCAGGAAGCAGAGGGGTCAGGGCTTGGCTTCAGCTCTTGCGCTGCGCCCTTAGCCGAGTATGTGCCCTGAATTTGGAGCGGGTCCGACATTGTCCGACGGTAGGACAATTGGACCGCTTTGGTCCGCTCTGAGGGTCGGGGAGTAAGAGCTACTAGCGGTGGGCCGACTAGGAGTGGAGCGGAGAAGGCGGGGGGTGATGTGGAGAGGGGATAGGAGCAGGGGAATGTTGGTAAGGGCGGGAAAGGCAGAGGATAATGCTGAGGGGCGAAGGAGGATATTTTGATAGGGGCAGAGTAATAAGGGGAAGATTTAGAGCATGGCTCTAAGTCGGAGCGGAGGGTCAGAGGGTCGGAGGTGACAACAAGTTGAGACTTGTGTCCAGAGGAGGCAAGGTTCTACTGAGAATTCTCACAGGATATAACTGCGAGAAGACAAGTAATATTATGACTGAGGAAAAATATCTAAGTACATGATATGTTATATACTACTATGTATGAGGCAGTGATCAGGATAACTATGCAGTAATGCTATGTACCAAGGATATAGTTTGTAAGTATTTTACATAGGTGAAGACATAAGTCGGGGCGGATATCAATATGTACGCATTGGATCAGCGATCGAGTGGTAATAGGAATTACCGGTCATCCGGGAGTAAGGGTCTATGTACCAATAGGGAAGGCATATATCTAAAAGGGGAAAGAGCTCCAGTTGAATGGAGAGGTTATGGAAGGGGGCCGGTTGAGCGGTTGAGCGGAAGCATAGGGCAGAATACAGATTTGTGATGGAGCGGAGGGGGTTGGAAAGCGGAGCGGATATCAATATCAGAGCTGTCAGATCAGGTATATGACAGACTTCCTGCTAGTGGGTTAGTGGCCTCCCTGGGAAAATTTGAGGTCCTGATCATGAAGCCCCCTCCTAATGGTGTGGGTAGGCCACAGTCTAAGTTAGCATCATCTAGCTTGGGAAGCGCAAGGAACCATCCCTCCTATAGAGTCCTCAACTTCCTCCTTCCAAGTGAGTGTGGTATTGGGTATTTGAATCTGAATACTCCAGCCCCGATGATCTTGCTCTGCCCATTGTCTACACCGGTGGTGCCTCCACTCCTGTTGCTGAGTGCTTCATCTTGTCTAGTGTGGGGTGTTGGTAAACTGATAGTGTGCAGAACCTGCGACCGCTGATTAGCAAGTGGTTGAGGATCCTGGTGTGATCAGCCAAGTCATGGGGGAAGAGGCAATCCATAAGTTGGAATTAGCTTGTTTGTGGTATTGTAGCTGACCCATTGGGCAGACTCTCCCATGCAGGTGGATTTGGAAATTAATCATGCAGTGGTTCTGGAGGATCCACCCACTCCTGCCATGCTGGCATTGATACATCAACCTTCGCGGCACTCCCTGCCACCATCTTTGCCTAGTGTGACCTCCCCTACTCCTCCCGTGACTCCCCCAGCTCCCACACCTCTGGTTCTGGAGGATCCAGCTGCTCCTGCTGCGCTGGCATTGACACATCTACCTTCACGGCACTCCCCACCATCATCTACTCCTGGTGTAACCTCCCCTGCACCTCCCATTGCTGAGGACCCATTTGCCCACCAGAACACCTTAGTTGCCAGCATCACAGTATCTGCAGACTTTGAGAACCTTGGGCGACCCATGAAACTGACTGCGGTCCACCTTACCAGGTTGTGGGACATGCTGGGTCCCCTCATAGACCAAACTGCCGTTGAATGTGTGCTGTTCACTCCAATGGACAACTACCCATTGGTAAGGGCCATGTCACCTGTGTCCCCTCGGTAGCTGCAACATCTAAATGAGCAAGGTGTCGTCATCCTGGTCAACCAGGCCTACAATCGTGTCATCACATCCATGATTGCACTCTCCATGCTTGGGATGGATCTGTGGGCCACGGCTGAGAACCATGACATTATCTATCGCCATTATTTGGACCTGACTACCCCAGCAACTAAAGAAGGAGAAGAAGAGCAGGACACTGAAGAATGGGTGGGGTTTGCAAATGATGGAGAGGATCGTGAAATCCCCAAGGATGCTTGAGGTGGGCATGTAGAGTACATCAAAGTCATTCATTTGTGCATCTGCATTTTGGGGATGCCCTGTAGCCTCTGCTCAATATAATAGAGTTGTTCATTTGTGCTCCCACAGCTGAAGTGTGAAACAGTTGACTTTGGGAGGGAATGATTGGACTGTGTAGAGCAGGCTGCATTGCAAGTTGGAGGAGACTACCCACAAGTTGACTTGGCACAACTGCAAGTGTATTGGTGTCATGCATGACATCTATACAACATCTCATCTCCTTAAGGTGGGCTTGCTTTCTGTTACAGTAACATGAGCATTACGGTTTATTTCATCCTCTTTGTTCTGTCGACCACTGACATGTGGCTAAACTGTGCAGACTCATCTAGACCTGGACCATGGTTACGATTCTATTCTTACCTCTTTTCTTTTTGATCTCATTGTTCTGAAACATGAGAAGCTCTCGCTTCTACCCCTAGATCATAGAAGCTGCGGCTTCTACCAAACCCTATGCCCTACACTTGCCTTTACCAGTGTATCGGTTCTATCTTTGATGGGGATTCCCCATGCCCTTTGCCCTTACCATTCAACCAGTACTACTTACCCTTTATAGTATGTGACTCATACATACCCTTGACCCTTACCAATGCTTCAGTACTACCTCCACTTAACCTGTACCCTTACCGCTCAACTGGTATCTCATCTTACGTATATATATCACTTATCTTGTAAATAGATTCTCTAATGTGAATCTACTTGGTTCTCATTTTGAACTTGTCTTTGGGTCTGAACTTCTCTTACCTAAGAGAACTCCCTCTGTGCAAGGAACCATCTTCTCTTGAGACGATACTCTTGAGTTGAACTCCATTCTCTTGGACCATATCCTTGAGAAACTCCAATTGACTCTACACAAGTAAGGGCCTCAACCCTTACTCAGACTTAGTGCAGGCAAGCCCCTTGCTGGGCTAGCGCTGAAGGCCACGCTTCAAACACCCCTTGCTGGGTTTAGCGCTGCCGGATCTCATCCAAGAGGTTTCGCGTAACACTTTCTAATAAGCTCCACCAACATAGGTATGGCAATCAAACAATTTAGCAAAATTTATGCTGGGGTAAGTGCAAGAACAGCACACCCCTGCTGTGGCTCCCCGTGGAGACTGTGTTCATGCAGACCACCTGGGCAATTTGGCAAGAGACAATCCCCATTGGGAGCTGTGAGAGGTGGGTCTGGCAGAATGGCCAGGGTAAGTATCCTGCATGTCAAATGACAAGGGTGCACACACCTGGCATGGTTCCCCAGTACCAACTGCCTAGGCGGTCTACACACACCTGGTTCCCATGGGGAGCCGTGCTAGGTGTGTGCACCCTTGTCATTTTATATGCATGATTCTTGAGGTGCCTTAGTGAGCATCTCATCACATGATCATATTGAATATTCCTCTGCACTGCATGGATGCTGTGAGCACATGTAGGACATGTCCTCTTCTCAGGATTGCCTGTGGTGATACTCACCTAATGGATGTATCAGGGAGTGATGACAGCACAGCTGCCACTATGTGTGCATGGCAATCAACCAACCCAGTCAACCTCTGACTGTCTGTCACCCTCTATGAGACATCCTGTTAGACCCACAGCACCCAACTTGACATTTGACATGAGGCAGTTGCTACAGTGATGCAACTCCAATCCATGGTGGACCCTCGTTTCAGATTGACAGATAAGTGACTGACAAACCAGAAAATTCCATTTGGATGCTTGCTCACCAGATCATGCTATTCATTAATTGTGGGATCATTGGATCACTCACTTCAATATATAAGTCAACAGTTGCCAGAAGAGCTCAACCAACCCAACCCAACCCAAAGATTGATCCAAATTGTATGTCATCCCATCCACAGCTCCTTGCTGTGATACTAATACATCAGCTGTTAGACACTTCACAATGAGCAGAAAGCTGCAAAGCAGTGTACTCTGTGCATTGCTGGCAGCAAAGTATTTTATATTTGCTGATGAAGAGACCCTACAAGACATGTATGGCCTTGGACCAGAGATGTTTGACGTCAAGAACCCGCACCTCACCAAGCATGAGCACAAGGCTCTGTAAAAGCTAATCAATGCTGTCAATGCTGCTCCCAACCTGAGGAAACAGTACAATATCCTGGAGGAGAAAGGAGACTCACCAATGGCTGCTGGTGGAGCTGTCCTCACCAAGTGGTTCAAGTAGCAACAGGTATTGCCTGCCATCAGTGACAGGATCGACAATGTGTGGGAGGGGTTAGATTCCTCACCACTGCATCTCATCCAAGACATGCCTGGCGACAATTTCCCCAACATCCATGATGCAGACGACATCAAAGAGGATGTCATTCAAGCTATATTCAGTGAGCACGTGATGTCCTGTGGGTTGTGAGGCAAATTTTGTGAGAACTGTGGAACCATCATCCATCACCCATGGGAACACCACCGCAAACAATACACTAGAGTGAAGAACAGCATCCACTTGCAACCCCACAATGACCACAGCACTTAGTCTACTGGTAAGAGTATTGATCAATCTCTGATGCCCCAACCAAATCGTACCTGCAGGATAATATTTCAATGGGTTTGTTGAGCTCTATACGACCTCAGGATGACATGAGAAACGCCCAACAGATGCATAGCAAGGACGACTGCACTATATGCATTATGTCATGTTTGGCTGCATGTATTCTTGGTTTATTTTCGCAATTTTCTCTCCTTGTGCTCCAACTATCATGTAGATGCCTCTCTGTATGGAGAGGTGCGCTTCTGTTGTACTTCAAGAAGTCTGCATGATGGGGTCACTCCCCCTCTTTCTGTACATGAGAGAGTTTCTGGGCTGTACATGCCTGGTTGGGTGTTGGCTGGATTGGCTATTTTCGCATCTTTCCCTCTATGTGCTCCAACTGTCATGTAGACACCTCTCTGTATGGAGAGGCATGCTTCTGTTGTACTTCAAGAAGCTCTACATGATGGGGTCGCTCCCTCCTCTTTCTGTACATGAGAGAGTCTCTGGGCTGTACATGCCTGGTTGGGTGTTGGCTGGATTTGTTTTTGCATTTTCCTGTCTTTCTGATGATGTTCTTGTACCAGGCGATCCTTTGACGAAGGCCAGGTAAATTGTTTTTGCTTTTGTGAGGTTGCTGACATGTAAGGCAACTCTATCTATGTCCACAGTGAGGCACAGGGGTCTCAGGAATCTGCATCCCTCGCAATCATGCATTATTGTCACTTTTTGAGGTGCCGATTGGTGAGTTTGTTGAACTTTTGACTTTGTCGCCCATCAATGATGTGACCTTGAAGGCTGGGTAGAGTATTTTCGCTCTTTTGAGGCACCAATGCATGGTTGCTGTTTCAGGCATGCAACAGCATATTGGGACAACATCAAATTCCTTTCCATCTCTTCGCGACCACTCATTCCAGCTTTCTGTCCCTTGTGCTGGGTTATGCTCTGGGTCATTGCTCGACTTTAGTGCAACCTTTCACTGAATTCACCCATAGCTCGCTGTACATGAAGTGTGATTGAAAATGGTTCTGTGATTATGTGCATAGAGTATGTAGCTATACACCCATGTAATTATTACCAGGTAAATACAGAAAATGAGGGATGAGCAGGCATTGCAGCTATCACAAAGTTTAGGCATGCAAAATAAGCGACATCAGCGCGATGTTGGATGCCCTTGATGCCTGATGCCAGTGACTCTATACATTGCTGCAGAACGATGAGATGAAGATGAGGTTTTTTGTTTTGACCTCTCGAGTCATGCGACGAACCAGGGTAAGAATGCAGCCCATCTCACATGATAGGGGGGACAGACGCGAATGCAGAAGAGGTGATAGCAAGGGGGGACGGCCATAAAGGGATGGGGACAGCCATAAAGGGAAGGGGACAGTTGCATAAGGGGGGGGACGGATGCTAATGCGGAAGAGGTGATGGCCATAAAGGGATGGGGACGCTCCCACAATGGAGAAAGCACGGATTTTGATCGAAAGAAGGGCAGAGGTCCCAAAAAAGGACCGTGCAAAGGGGGATGAAGGGACGCTTACATGAGAATCGTCCCAATAAGGCAGGAGGGGGGTGGGGATGTTTTGACCCCTGCAGATGCTGAGCACATATAGATAGACTCCCCTTCACCACTGCTACAATGTTTCTTATCTTCCCATCCTTCCCTTCCTTTCTTGAACCACCCATTTTTCACTATTTTCCTTATGACTCCCTACCATCTTAACCTATTCCTGTCATAACATCACCATGAGAGGTCCCCTTTGCTTCCCTTGGGGGTAGCCCAAGTAAAGCCCACTACCACTGGCACAACTAGTAAACAGGCAAATCAGGTGGAGGAAGTAAGTCAGAGGTGGAGACCGTCAAAAGGATTGGAGCTAAGATTTATTGCATCAACAGGAAAACAGGTCAACACTTCAACCATGGCTTAAAATCAGAGCCCAGGAGCAGAGGCCACAACAATGCCACACTTGTGTCCACAGCTTAACCAACATTCTCTCCAGAATTCTCACAATAGAAATAGAAAATAGAGAACACAAAGTAATATAACATTGACAAATCTAATACAACATATTTTATATACTCTAGGTAACAACGCAGTGATCAGTAATGCATAGCAGAAGCCTATGTCCTGAGTGTATGATTCATAAGTATCACTGCAGAGGAAAAACATATCAGTCTAACCAGATGTCCAATATGTCCCATCAGTCATCAGACGCCTATAAGAATCACTGGTGATCCAAAAGCATAGGCTATGTACTGAAAGAGTATGTATATACCTAAATAGGGAAATGGGCCCAGTTGAATCAAACCAATATAGGAAGTAACACATCAGGCAGTGGAGCTGGTGCACTGCTTAGACTCTGTCAACTGAGCAGACCAACTGGGTTGGCGAGGGAGGCATGCATCCAGATGTCAGTGGTGTCGGAAGAGATCCCATCAGGTATATGATACCAGTGCAGCTTAGTAGAAAGTAAATAATATCATGCAACAGGCTTGATTGCAATGGAAAGTCGGATCGTACCAGCTACTAAGACTGGACTGAAAAGAGAATATACAAAGGGGACTTGGAATGGGTTGATGCATGCCTCATACCTCCATCAAGTCATAGGCAGAGGATGATACATGATGTCGAAGATCATTCATTAGAGGTGGAGGAGTATGCATAAGGGCAGAGGACAACGAATGAAGCCAGAGGAGACTCATATAAATCGTGGTTGCCACAGCACCTCCGACTTGACTGAACCTTTGCTTGCCATGTACTCCAACCTTGAGCTTAGTCTCAGCATTCTCTGCTTCTGTCTTCCCACAGTGTCTGTAACACTTTCTATGTCGCACTCAGTGTCTCATAGCCTTACCTCTGTCGGAGCATGTTCGAGTTGATCTCCGCCCAACCCTCCTATCTGTCCTTTGAAGTCAAGGGTGCTGTGCTGACATAAGGAAAGGAGTGCAGGAGCTGAAGCTAAGTCCTTCTGTAACCTCCTTCTCACCTATCAGGCACTGTTGTAACAACAGGGACCCTTATCGGATACATCAACTATGATGAAGTACCTACCATAAGATAATGGGAGCGACTGGATGCACACGAGATTGGGGAACTGAGGAAGGGGATGGCCATGATGTGGTGCTGTTGGGAACCATGCTTGGATGGAGAAGGGGAGGCATCAGGGGTTGGCCTCAGCTCTTGCGCTGCACACTTAGCCAAGTATGTGCCCTGAATTTTGAGCAGTACCAATTTTGTCCAATGATAGGAGGAGTGGACCGCTTTGGACTGCTTTGAGGGTTGGGAGATCAAGGGTTACCAGGGGTGGGCCCACCAGTAAGGGGGCAAAGAGGCAAAGGAAGCAAGTGGGAGGCGGAAGGGATCAGAGGGGATTGGAGGTAGAGTTAATTGGATGAAGGGTAAGGAACTGGCATATGACAGGTACACACCACTTGCCACCTAAATGAGGATGGAGCCGGTGTGCAAAGTAAAGCAGGATGAATGTCATATTTCTGAGTAGGACTTGCAATGGGCACGAAAGCCACATGACCTATCACGTAACATACCAAATGGTGTAAAGGAAGGATTTAACACTCTGTGATGATGTATGAGTAGCATTCACAACGGTTGCATGTGCGAAAACACGAACACATGGCCAAGCATGTATGATCGAATGTCGCCTGAATGGTCTGAGTGATGTATTGCGAACATCATGTTGCATAGAGTCAAGATGACAACCATTGCAAATGTGGAGTATACTGAATATGCAGTCGCATTGTGAGTTGGACCTTTAATAAGAAGGTGGTCGGAGGCTCCACAAGACCAAATACTGGTAATGGAGCAACTGTTAAGGGTAGCTCCTAAAAACCCGCAGCAGGTTCCACATCACCATGACCAATTACTGGCATGACCAAATATGACCATTTTGTTGGGAGCAAGCCATGTTCCACCTTTTTAACAGTCCCCCCTTTTATGGAAGCAACATTGTGGTGGAAGGCTTTCCTCATGAAAGTTCATATGTGGTCATGCCAGGAATTGGTCATGTGGAACCTGTGACCAGTGTTTAGGAGCCAGCCTTAACAGTCGCCCCTATTAAGATGCTTTCCTTCACATTACCAGTATTTGGTAATGGGGAACCTGTGACCCTCATAGCCTTACCTCTGTTTGAGCACATTGGAGTTGATCTCCCCCAGCAAGAGTGCAGTCCTCGTGTTGTCGCACTCACATCTGTTGCAAGTGCACCTACAGAAAGATCGTGCTCACTTGAATCATACACAATGATGCCCCACTTCCCAATTCCATCAAGAATGCTTTTGATGTCACTCATCTCATCTCACATCTCGTTGAAAGTCTTGATATGATCTTCAGTGAGATTCTTCAGCATCAATATCTTCGCTCATTTCTTCTCAAGCTATGCATACTCATCCTCAAGCTGCTGCACATATCAGTGAAGCACTGACAGACAATGCTGTCCAGACGCTACAACAATTTCGTCCTTGTCCTTAAGCTCAAGTCGAGGTACATCGTCTGGGTCGTCAAAGTTTGCTGCCAGCTCCAGTCCAGTCTTGATTTGCTTCGTGTCAATGATGATCGGAATCGTGGCCTTCATCTTCATCAACATGATCCCAGAGGCCTTGAACAACAAGATTAGCTTGTTCGTTTCCGCATCCTCTTCTAGTCAGTCATTGTATACTCGTAACTTCAGCCGATTACTGATTGTGAGCAGATCAATCCATACAACGCCCGCCTTGCATTTTGCAACCTGTGTGTCAAGTTTCTGCGTCTGCTTCACTATGTTGTTGCCATCCTGCGCTCAGATCGGCCTCTCATCCAAGTGCAGATTGAATGCTGCTCTGCTCTGATAGGTGTTGTATTAGGAAGTAGTAGTTAGTTCTATATTTGTCACTCACCGCTACTATTGTTCCCCCAGCCTTCTTTTGCACGGTACTTTTGGAGGCATCTGAGGTCCTTCGGTTTATTCTATACATTGGTAGATGTGATGATGGTAATCAATAAGAGTGCAATTTTCTTTCACCCTCATTTTCTTGCCCTATCCCCTCAACCTTTAGCCTCATGTTCTTACTATTACCAGGTTTGTGAACATCACGTGACATACCATTGCACTCGAAACGGTTGTGAGTGTGACAGTATAGCTACTACAGCCGTGCTGCAGTAGCATTTGCAACAGTTGCGAGTGCTAACTAATCTTAATGCCTATCTCTATTTTACAACCATTTCACTCCTCACTATACTGTGATTATTTGTAGTTATGAACAATATATATAGATTTTTTTTCCTTTTAAAAGCCAAAGTCCTAACAAAACCAGTTATTTAACAGAACCTATTTACAAAATCCCTATATAATTTGAACAAACTCCTTCATTTTTCCATTCACCCCCATTGATGATGGGAATCCCTGCTGTCGCCTACACCACAGTTCTGGAGGCAACACAGAACACTGTTGCATCTGACTGCCTAGCTGCCCTTTCTGGGGAGACAGTGTCTGACCCTACAGGGTTTTAGATCAGATTCACAACCTTGGGAATCAATTGGGAATGGTCCCAGAGTGGGTTATCAGCCCCCTCTGAGATGGCCACATTCTTGCATATGTAAGCAGTACCACCACCACACTCTCCTAAGATCCATTTTTGCAGCCTTCATAACACTTGCTGGGGTTGATGTAGCACTTGATTTTGAGGTTAATCAATGCTCTGAAAAGGATGGTCCAGCCAGATTTGCACAAAAAATCACATTCTAAAGTTGACCACCCAGGTCATGCTGGCCCCCCCCCCCACACATCGATTTTTACAGCCTTCATGTGACTTGCCTGGCATCATCTAGGACTTGTTTCTGATGTTATGGAACCCTCTGAAGACGATGGTCCAGCCAGATTGGCCAGAAAAAATCAGGTGGTTGAGATGCCCAAGGTCCCCCTCCCCCCCATTCTCCTATGTCCAGATATTATGTGATGACTGATGCCCCAAAGGATGTTCCTGGTGTTTTTAACCTCTGTAATTGATTGGGGATCATCCCAGAGTGTTTCCAGGCAGTCTGGATTGACATGTGCCAGTTTACCTCATACCCCCACAAAGGTCGATTTTTACAGCCTTCCCATGACTTGCCAGGACTCCAGCAGCATTTTTCCCAGGGGCTCTTGAACCCTCTGAACACGATTTTTAAGCCCGATTTGCCAGAAAAAATTGTGTTCTTCAGATATGCAGGGTCCCCCTCCCCCCCTGCCTGACATATGTGGCTGTGCCTCGATTTGACACAAACCCCATGCTGTAGGGACCTGTCCTAGGGTTTTTCAAGCATAGGAATCATTTGGTAATGGTCCCAGAGCATCCCGAGGTCATCTATGGCGTCATATGGTGGGTGGGCCAAAATAACAGTATTTTGGCCATATCTCCATAACCAAACCGCCGTTTTTCTTGATTCTTGGCTCATATCATTCCTGGAGGTACCCTCCATGAAATCTACCAGCCTGAAAGAAGATGTTTGTCAAATTTGAAACCTATTTCAGTTTTGACCCTATAAATATTAATTAAAAATTTAAACAATGCCATGTTTGAATGCTCACATAATCATGAACAAAATGGCTTGGCCCACATGAATGATCGTCCTTTCTATCTTAACCTTCAACCACCATGTTCAAAATGTACGACCTACACTGCTGGATACGAGGTACTGAACCACACGAAATTTTCACTTTAAAAATTTCACCGTTGGACACTGTTGATGCTCTGAAAACCATGATCAAGGATTCTCAAGGTGTTGAAATGTGTGTGTCTGCATTGCAATTGTACAAACCACATAATCCGGTGGCTGAACCATATGAGGCAAATTTGAGCAATGTGATCCTATCTACACTTGAGCCACCATTGCTCTCAACGCATCAGATATCAACCCTGTTTGAAGGACCACCTCCAAAAGATCACATTCATATCATAGTAGGTATGTAGTGGCTGCAATACAAGCTTGGCCATGCAATTAATTAATTCCAATCCTCAAGATGCACCAGAACTCCACATTCATTGCTGGTTGCGAGGTAGCACTGGGGAGCAGAGATTTGATGTCTTTGTCAAGTCAAATGCAGAAATTGGAGCCCTCAAAGATGGCATCAAGGCAGTCAAATCAAAAATCAGAGATGTAGACCAAAGTCGCATCAGCTTATACAGAATATCTGCATCGGAGGACAATGTTCGGGAGAGTCTAGATACCATCAATGCGAGTCACTTGCTCGAGGTGACAACAGCATTCCCTGTATACCATTATTTCTTGTGCATACCAGTTCTTGAGCAGCTCCACATTGTAGTCCAAGTTTACTCTGAAACCAATAGTGAGTTGATGCATTATCTCATTGAATCAAATTTCACAAATTTATGGATGGCAGGGTCGACGAGTCCTCCTCAATCTATGCACCCTATCTCCATGGGAGTGGATGCAATCCGAATCACACAGGGAATCCTTCCTTGCCCATACCAATAATCATTTCCATTCAAAAGGAAAGAAACAATCACAATCTCCTTCTGATACCTCCTATCCTCCATCGTTTCATGAACAACAGCTGGACACAAAGATACAGATAGCCTGTGGTCGCCCTCAGCGAGGTCGAGGAAACCATTCCTGCCACGTTGCTGCATCCAGCCTTCAGCCAATTTATCGATGACAGCCTAACTCACACAGTGACAGAAGAAGACAACAATCTCATCGGCAAACTTGCCCATGTCATGTCAGCACTGTATGAAAATGAAAACAAGCGAATAGATGTAGTTAGTGAGGTGCTCAATGGATACCACCTTCGCTTGCGCTTGAACCACAAGGTTCAAGGAACTGCATATGAAACGGATGGAGACATGTCCATCGACGTTAATAACCATCGTCATCCTTATGTCATTGTCGAATTCAAGGAATGAGGCGGCAAAATCCAATCTGGAACCATACTTGCAGGCTCTTATGTACTACCTGCAGTCAATGAGAATGTACGCACCCAATTTGTCTGGGTCTACCCTACCCTGTTTTCTGGTTGTCATTTTCAGTTCGTGTCAAGATCTCCTTTGTTTTAGAATATGACATAGGAACTCATTGTTTGTCCAGGACCAATCATTATATTCACAGGTGCTGTCTGGACGTTGCGTCCTGCTGTTCAGATTCTTTCCACCCCTCTTATCTTCAATTTCCATTCCTCGGATAACTACAATCATGTCACCGCTGCGCATCACATGGCTGCATTCCACAAAGCTGTCCGAACCCTCTAGAGCCATTATGACACACTACCTCCTGATTCTGAACTTGTCAGCAAGCTATCCCACCCCACAATCTTCCCATATCTGACAAGCTTTACATCTCTCGACTGACAACAGCACCATTGTCTTCAAATATAGGGAGCATCTCAATGAAGATGGGGGAAAATCAAAAAGACTCATCTTTTTCGGGACCCTCAATGAAGGGGATGCTGAGGTTGCGATATGCATCAAATTCATCTGACATTATTCACGGGATGCTCATATGCATTGCGCTCAAGCAGGCATTGCCCCTAGATTACGAGGATTTGAACAGCTTCCTGGAGGCTGGTACATGGCAGTGATGGATAAACTTGTTGCATACAACATATTGGCCGACTTGCCCATTGGCAAATGCATCCCCCAATGTGTGTTCGATGCTATCAGGGAACAGCTGAAGATGCTTCATGCTCACCAGCTGGTCCATGGTGATATACGCGATACTAACATCTTGCTCAAGATGGATGACAGGACAAAGTTCATGATAATCAACTTCAACTGGGTGGGGGTAGAAGAGGTCGTGCGATATCCGGCATTTGTGAATTACAGGGATATACAAAGACCAAATGATGTGAAAGACGGACAACCCATCCAATGCAGCTCATGATGATGCCATGCTGGAATTTCTTATTGCGAGGTGGTCCCAGAAGTAATCCTATGAGAACACATAGAAAGAAGACAAACATAGACCACCTACTAGATGGTTGTAGATACATAATGCGAGAATGATGCATACCCTTGAGAGTCAGTGCTACTGATGCTGAGTAGACCTTAGTTCGCACATTTGTGAGCAACATTTCAACCATACATTCGGAATAATGAGCAGTCACAAAAGGGAAGAAGGAAATCATGATTGACCCATCTTGAATTACACGCTGTTCCACGACACAGCTAATGTTTCTCGTCCGGCCACAGGACAGGGAAGTGAGAGATGCGTCCCAGGACAATGCACTACTCCAAAGCCACCAAGCAGTGTGGTGTCATACTCCTCATATGGAGGAGACAGTTTCACGATGGAGTCACGCATGACCAGCACTGTTGCCATTCTTTGTCCCTGTGACGAGGCAGCATGGACGTCCCAGCTAAGAACCATGCTCAAAGGGGGGTCAAATCCATAGGGCTTGGCTTCAGCTTGTGCGCTGGGCCCCTTACCGGATATATGCCCCTAATTTCTGAAGACTAGAACAGATGTCTGGTGAAGTCTGGACAAGTCTGGAGGCTGAACTAAGAACAAGTCTGGCAGACCTCCGGGGGTTGAAGGAGAAACTAGGGTAAGACCACTTCGGACAAAGTCCGGAGTAGAGGCAGGATAGAGATAGACTATTGTAAGGTAGAGCCGTTGGGAGGAAATGGCAACAATGAATGTTGGCACCACTCGAGCAGCGGCACAGAATGTAGCCCGCAATTTGTGCATCCCCCAATGTTACCTTAGGTTGTTGGAGCGTTGGAAGGCCATCCTCCACATTTTTGCTCCCATAACAGAGGCAACTGCCAAAATTGTGGAGGAAAGTTGGTTGCCCCTTCTTTTTGGGAGCACGCCTTGACAGTTGATCCTATGCAGAGGCTTACCTTCATACTGCCAGTATTGCGTCTTGGGCAGCCTCCAGCCATCAATATGGAGGAAGGCCCTCTTCCACATTGTTCAACCTTCCTCCACATTGTTGCTCCCATGAAGGGGGCGAGTGCCAAAACACAACCGGCACTGGTGCTTCTTTGTAGAGGCAGTGTGGACGTTCCTGTTAAGAACCATGCTTAAAGGGGGTCAAATCCAAAGGACTTGGCTTCAGCTCACAGCATATTCAGAGTCTATGATTGTATGTGATAAGACATAACATGTGGGAGGAATATACGACAGCCTGAATGTAGTTGATGAATCTGAGAATGTATAGATTTTCACCATCCGATACACCCTGGAACATGAACATGGAGGATCTGTGGAGACCCCAAAGACTTGAGTGAATCGGTGCGATCTCCAAATCTCCAGTTTATGGAGCTTGAATTTGAAAGACTTTCCAGCTTTCGTGATACAGGCAGCTTGCTGGATCTTGCCTATGTACCAATTATCTTTGCCCTTCCATTGTCCAATAGTTCCTGGGTGAAGAAACAAGGCAGATGGATATAGGAGAGGGAAGGCACCAGGAATGCTCCTTGGATCAATGCACATTGGTGATAGGATATGCACACTAGGGTGGTTGCTTGTTACCAGTCCACAGAATCCTGTAGTACAACATACACCGAGTCCGCCATCTTGCTGCACAACTTTATGAGTTCCCAAATACACTTTGTCCTCAATCTTGCCCCTTTCTGATCCCTGTTGCGCCTGAGGCTGGTATCGCTGTGTTTGAGAATGTCGAATCCTAACTTCATGACACAATGCGACATATCCTCCAGGTTACTCATCTCTGACTTGATGCATCTCTGCTTCGATTTGGAGCTGTGGTCGTCGAAGGTTAGGCAGTCAATGGTAATATTTTTCGCCTCCAGCTCCAGTGCCCGGGCAAGCTTGATTATCCACCATACTGTATTGCAGCTACCATGTGCCTCTGCCATCGCCTGATGGATCGCATCCCACCTGCCTTCCCATGTTTCCATTGCACTGCGCTGCTCCCCATTCTGCCCATTGTCGTCTTTTGTTGGCTGCATGCATGCGCCATCATCGCGAGTGCACGACAACTCTGAGGTGTCTGAACCAATTTGGTGAATGCCCCTCCATACTATCTGCAGGTGCCGTCTGATGCGCATGTTGACCATGCGAGTGTGAGTGTCGCCCTCATTGTCAGGGTCTACTTCATCTTCCGTCGTCTCGTCGTCACTCTGGAGCATTTCCTCGAGGAGCAACTCAAAGCGGGGTGGTTTTGAGGCAACTGCCATGCGATGTCAATAATCATTAGTCCATTGTCAACCCACTCACCTGGGGCAGCTGGAATCATCTTGATCACAATACCACCAGTGCTGGGCATGATCTGTGATTTATCGAGACTGAGACATTATCTGTAACAGATGGTGGATGGGTTTGAGATGGGTGTTTGAAATGATGAAGGGTAGCAAGCCAGTGAGATTATATTGGACAAGATGGTGGTGGTTATTTGTACTGTGGCCAGCGGACATTGAAGTACCTGATGTCTGATGTTGGGACGCGGTGTATTGTGGAGTGGTGCATGTCCACCAATCAAATCTGCCACAAGTAAAGTTCTTCTGCTTGTGCCATTCCACACATGGTCAACCATTGTGCTACAGACCTACTGTGGTCTCCCACCTGCAGGGGCACACATCGACTACCATTGTCCACTGCCAGGTTTTTTCTCATTCCATACCATTCTACAAATGATTTTCCGGTATATCACCTGTGGGCTCCTGCACATCCTCGCATAAATCGCCCTCTAAGGTCCACTATGTGTGATGTCGCCATTCTGGATGAAATATGAATACTAAGTCCATTCCACTCTCCCTGTGCATGAAATGCTCAGGAGGGCGGAAGAATCTTGCAAGAAGTTGGCATATGAGTTGAACAATTTGAAAGGTGGTCTCACAGACACGGCTAGCTATGATTAATTACATAGTTATTCATATTCTGCTTCCTTGTTGAGGCTGTGATGGTACACCTAACTGGTAATGATCGGCCCACAATGGGGGAGAAGGACAATCAGGAACCGAGATCGGATCTCAAACATTCATCTCTGGTAGCTTGATAGGCTTCATGTTCAAAGATTTAGAGTCATTTTTACATCAGGGCTCGTGTCTAATCCGATAATTTGGGCTTTAACTGTACAAGAAGTGCATGCAAGTTACATTGACCAGACCCTGCTCACCCTTCCCAACCAACAACCCTACACACCCCAAAGTGCACCGTTATATCAAAGTCCAGTGCTGTCAAGATCGACTGAATCAACGCCAATGATGTTGATAGCCTTAAGGGCAGGAAAAGCACCACTTTCGCAATATCTGATAAGATGTTCTGGGTTTGGACCAGAAAAATGGGCAGGTTCCACAATCCTCAATGGAAAGGCTTATAAGATTCGGGGCACGAATCTGTTTCAGCACACGGATGGCAAGCTCAACATCCCCATACCCAGAGCCATATCCCAGGCGAAGCTCTTCGAGGTGGGGAAGCAGTATGGCCTTGTGATTGATTGGTAATCCCGACAGGGAAAAGACCATCAGCACTAGTTTTCTAAGCTGGGGACAGGATGAAAGAATTGCTGAAAACTCGTTGCCAGTTGGACAGCAACCACGCCCATAAAATTGGGACAACTCCAAGACATGCAAGGATCGAAAGATGTTTGTGTGCATTTGGTGGGAGAATGATGGCCAGTTTATAGGAACCCCGTTGAGAGCCGGACGACATAATCTGGGGAGTGGGGAAGACTGTGCACAGATATCTTGAGGGAATAGGGCATCCAATGACATCCCAGCAGCGACTAGCTGGGCGCGTGGTACTGACCACCTCGGAAGGTGATCTAGAGGTTCAAAGGAGTGAAACTCCTTGAGCACCAGAACTTCCAGGCAAGTAGCACCTGTCAGAGTAGGTGTACTCAGCAGTTTAAAGGCGTGTGGGATGAGTCGGTCCCAACATTGGCAAAAGATGGTGAGAGATCTCCATCTTTTGATCTCCTTGAGCAGCAACTCCATGATTCAGGGAATTATGGAGGCATAGGCAATGCTAAATCCAGAAACAGTCTGAGCGTGTGATGTAATGTCTAGAGACGGGTTGAGAGCTGGGGAAGTGAAATAGATAAGAAATTGAGTGTGGGAAACGTCAAAGCTCAAATGCCCCAAACATCGAAAATGGTCAGTTGGTGTATCCTTGGCTATGGGCAACCAATTCAAACACTTCTATGCCACATCCCTCCCACCAACACTCTACCCTCAGGGCAGTATGCAGTATAGGTTCCTTAGGTAGTCCACCATGTATCCTACACATTTTTAATGAAATCTTCAACCTGTATCATATATAAATGTGACTTTGTGTGAACAGATGTCAATTGTCACTTTTCACACGTATATTGTTTTGCTTGTCATTCACTCAATCCTGGATGGATCTTTCTAAGCCTTTAAGGCTATCATTTACCATGTGGGCTTTTGATCAGTAGAAATATCCCCTTTACATCAGATCTCAAATTTCTGGCCTAAATATCACTGATCCTTAGCATAATAAATGTAATAATGACAGTCTATGAGTAACTTGGATAATCTGTGTAAGGGTAGGGTGGTAAAACATATCAAAATGTCACAATTGTGATTTGTCAAGTGTTGTTCCTATGGAAGGATCATGTAGGTGTCCTGGTCTATCTATATGATGTATCTACTACCAATATACATAGAAATAGACGCCATACCTGGGTGCTTGGTGCTCAGTAGTGGGTACTCAGTGTGCTCAGTGCTTAGTTGAGTACCAAGATATTCAGCATTGAGTATCAAGTACTGGGAACTGAGTACCAAGTACCAAGTTTTGAGTATTGAGTAGGTACTGAGTACCGAGTATTCGTATTCAGTGCTTGGTGCTCGGTATTCAATTTTATAGACCGTGGGAACTTTTTCGATGAAAATCAAAGTTGTAGCCCATGTCAAGGGGAGTCTATCCATAGTCTCATGACATCAATAGGTTAAGATCCTAGTAAGATATAAGCAAAATACTTGCAAATGGAGTGTTCAAGAAAGCACTTTGACCATGGGAACTTTTTAGATAAATATCTGCCCGGTGCTCGGTGCTCGGTAGTCTGTGCTTGGTGCTCGGTACTCGGTGCTCAGTGCTTGGTGCTCGGTGCTTGGTGCTTGGTGCTTGGTGCTTGGTGCTCAGTTGAGTACCAAGATATTCAGCATTGAGTATCAAGTTCCGGGAACTGAGTACTAAGTACCGAGTACCGAGTATTCAGTGCTTGGTGCTCAGTGCTCGGTGCTCGGTGCTCGGTGCTCGGTGCTCGGTACTCAGTGCCCGGTGCTTGGTTCTCGGGACTCGATATTGTAGACCGTGGGAACTTTTTCGATGAAAACCAAAGTTGTAGCCCTTGTCTAGGGGAGTCTATCCATGGTCTCATGACATCAATAGGTTAAGATCCTAGTAAGATATAAGCAAAATACTTGCAAATGGAGTGTTCAAGAAAGCACTTTGACCGTGGGAACTTTTTAGATAAAATCAAAATTGTAGCCCTTGTCAAGGGGAGTCTATCCATAGTCTCATGACATCAATAGGTTAAGATCTACCAAGATATTCAGCATTAAGTATTAAGTACCGGGAACTGAGTACTAAGTACTGAGTACCGAGTATTCAGTGCTCGGTGCTTGGTGCTCGATGCTCGGTGCCTGGTGCTCGGTGCTTGGTGCTTGGTAGTTGGTACTCAGTGCTCAGTGCTCAGTTGAGTACCAAGATATTCAGCATTGAGTATCAAGTACTGGGAACTTAGTACCGAGTACCAAGTTTTGAGTATTGAGTACTGAGTATTCAGTGCTTGGAGCTCGGTACTCGATATTCTAGACCGTGGGAACTTTTTCGATGAAAACCACAGTTGTAGCCCTTGTCTAGGGGAGTCTATCCGTAGTCTCATGAAATCAATAGGTTAAGATCTACCAATATATTCAGCATCAAGTATCAAGTACTAGGAACTGAGTGCCAAGTACCGAGTACTGAGTTTTGAGTATCAAGTAGGTACCGAGTACCAAGTATTCAGTGCTTGGAGCTTTCGATGGCAGGGATGGAGCACACACCCTCGAAAATTGTGGATCCCTCTGCCATCGAGGGTCTCATATTTGAGCTGAGCCAAGTTCAACTAGCCCTGGACCCATCACCTACTCCCCCAACTGCCAGAGACATTGTGGTGCCGGATGATCCATGCAGCCTTTTCCCATAATACGATTCTGCTGATGACATGGATGTTGAGGTCAAGGTTGAAGTTGAAGGTGGTGATGAGGGTCATCTGGGTGAGGTTGAAATGTCTACATAATTTGGAAATCATTGAGTTCTGGGTAACATCTATCGACGTCTGGGTAACTAATATTGAGTTCCGGGTATTTCATAAATTGAACAAATCACCAAGTACCGAGTACCAAGTTCCAGACACCGAGTTCTGGGCATTGAGTTCCAGGCATTGAGCACCGAAACATGAAACTAAAATAAAACATTTCATAAATTGAACAAATCACCAAGTACTGAGTGCCGAGTGCCGGGTTTTGGCACTCGGTACTCGATGCCCGGAACTTGGAACTCGGCACTCGGTGCCCAGAACTCGGTACTCGGTACTTGGTGATTTGTTCAATTTACGAAATACCCGGAACTCAATATTAGTTACCCGGATGTCAATAGTTGTTACCCAGAACTCGATAGACGTTACCTGGAACTCGATAGATGTTACCCAGAACTCGGTACTCGGTACTTATACCAATACCTAGGCCTATCTGTCTATATGATACGTATCTGGGCCCACCCGTCTGTCTAATATTACCCTGACAGTCGGCCCACCCGTCTATGTAATATTTCCCTACGTCGGCCCACCCGTCTATGTAATAAATAATTCACCTCACCCTCGGCCCACCCGTCTATCTAATATTAACCCACATCGGCCCACCTGTCTATATAATAAATATTTCACCTCACCCTCGGCCCACCCGTCTATCTAATATACCCCTATGTCGGCCCACCCGTCTATGTAATAAATAATTCACCTCACCCTCGGCCCACCTGTCTACCTAATAATACCCCACGTCGGCCCACCCGTCTAAGTAAAATACCCCACATCAGCCCACCCGTCTATCTAATATTTCCCTACGTCGGCCCACCCGTCTATGTAATAAATATTCCACCGCTCCCTTGGCCCATCCGTCTATATAATAATATTTGCTATACATCTCTCCTCAGGTCTATAATATTTGTCAATCCTACTCTACATATTACCCACATGGGCCCACCCATCTCCATAATAATATTTCTCCCGGCCCATCCGCCATCGTCGATGATATATATAACATCAGCATAGATGGGCCCACCCATCAACATCGGAAATAATATTTCTCCCGGCCCACCCATCAACATCGGGAATATACATAACATCGGCCCATAATCCGCTGGCCCGTATTACACGGGATATTATGTAGGTCGGGTGACCCGTATAGTACGGGATTTGTCACTGAAGGGGCTCATGCGTTGGCAGTCGAGTGGGTGCCAGTGCGGCTAAACGTGTTTCATATCATTCTGCATGACCTCATTCTGATTACTCTTTTGCGATGCATGTGTAGTTTCATGATGTAATCAAGCTTCAGGGGAAACACATGTGTGGTTTCACGACACATTGCATGTCATTGTATAGTCCTGAATTCATGATTGATGATTGCTTATTTGATGGCCTTATTAGTGAACATGCATGGTGCATGCATGGTTTCACAACACATTGCACGCCGTTGTATTTCTCTGGATCAATGATTGCTTATTTCATACCCTTACTGGAATTATAAATGGGGGTGGTATGCATGCCAGCAGCTTTGCCGTTCATTCTAACAGAATCTCGCCGTGATCCCTTCACTTTGCAACAGGTATGGAAAACACTGATCGTCAATCAGCAGTTGCCTTCAATGTCAAAGTTTGTCAATCCCTCCATCCATGTAAAGGCTGAGGACAAAAAAACAGGTCTCCTCCAACACCCAGCCACCCATGGATGCCCTAATCATCAAATTGTGTACAGATGGTGACATAGTCCCTCTAATCCACAAGGCTTTGGAGAATGAAGCCGCACAGATGCATGATCCATTGCAAGGTCGGGATCTAGGGCAAGTCCTTCATAGAGGCTTCAGTGAAGGGCCTGGAGTTCTGGCACCCAAACATGACATTCCCAACAACCGTACTACCAGGGTTTGGGGCATCGTCCATGAAGACAGCGAAGTCGAGATGCAAGGGGACTCCACGCCACATAGGAATGGAACCCATAAACAGAAAGGGAAATGAGCTCGTCGTTGACTGCAGCGCGCCCAAGATGTGACAATCTATAAGCAAAAGTCTAAGCTAGCCAACAGACACCTTGCAAAGTTGATCACCAGCAAAGTCTTGGTGAAATGCCTACCAATCACTCAAGGAGCATACATTGGGAAGCTGTGTGAGTCTCGCTGCAAGGCCATTCAAGAGCTTGACTGCCTGCTGCAACAGGGATTCAAAGTTGTAGAATGGGATGGACGGTAGGTTATATATGTAGTCTATTCCATGAGGCAGGCTCATCGATGGATGTGACAGCACCCCTCATGTTTTGTTGGACAAGGAAGAATGGATCATCAGCATCCTTTCTGGACAACCCAAGGATGATCGCTGGCACGATACGGTAGCTGCAGCCTGCACTGCAATGAAGGATGCAAGGGACCATTGCATCTTCACCGATGATGACATGAAGCACCAAAGAGGTGTCTATCCTTGCCTTGCCATTGGAGTGTCATTTGGGGGTGGTCAACAGGTGATTGTGGACAAGAGATGCTTGGACGGATGAGCCGCTAGCTCAACGATGCAGATTCCAGGAAATCTTGTGCACACCAAGGGAAACCAAGACGTACTGTGATCCGATGGTTGGGTCAGGCGCAGTCTCCCGGGGCAAGAAGCGGGCGCGGGCGGGGACTCCTTCTCCGTGCGGAAAAGGAAAACAGAGGCAGGCGAGCCCGAGTCTGATGGGGCATATGTCCTCTGGGCAAGGGACCATGCTTGGTGAGGACAAGAAGGAGTACCTCTATGATGACCAGGCCTGGGTGCAGGCCACCAACGACATTGTCAACAAGCTGAGTCGGACCAACGTGTTTCTGGGGCGGAGCATCCTGATGTTGGAGTGGAGCGTGTGGGTGGTCGAGGGGAGTCGGGTTGCGATGGAGCGGGGGGTCTCTGCCATGGAGAAATTCATGGAGGGGCAGGCACATTTGCAGGTGCTGCTTCTGAGGTGCTTCGGGTCTGTGGGTGAAGGGAGTGAAAGTCGCAGGGCTGACTATGGCGCGGAGAGTGCGGAGGAGGAAGCGGCCTCTGACGTGGAGATCCAGGAGGTGCAGGGGCCTGCTGTGCCTATGGGTGGGAATGAGGGGGTGGAAATTGAGGTGGTTGTGGAAGCGGGAGTGGAGGAGGTTGCGGAGGCGGCTGAGGACACCGAGATAGTCATGTAGTCGTCCGTCTGCTCACTCCCCACCATATACAATGTATTGTTTTATCCGTCAATCATACGTTTGTTGAGGTTGTGCTGGTGGCTGATTTGTGGGACGGAGCGGATATTAATAAACGGCAACTGAGGGGTGGATGAGCGGGGGAACAGAACAGAGCGGAGTCCCTATTCCCCCCTCTGGGCGGACATCCAGCATCGGATAAAAAATAAGAAGGATTGGTGGGAGGAGTGGAAATTACCGATTTATCTGATTCCTCTAGTGCGATGTGCTAGGATTTGTCGGGGATTGGATAATAGTCGGTCCGAAAAGAGGAGATACCAGGCGGAGTTACTACAGAGTATCGGGCAGACCGATGATGGGGATGTCGGGGGAAACGGCATTCCATGTGGAGTCAAACGGATGAAGGTGCTACCCAATACCTTGTTGACCAACAGGTCATAGCGGGCAGGTGAGCGGTATCCTAGAATGAAAAAACAAGATGAATCCGAAGTGGGGCATACAGAAATAGTACCGGATGTAACTCCATTGGTGAGGACAGCAGAAGCGGAGGGAAAGAAGCGGATGGAACGGTGTGGGAGCGGGTTGTAAGTATGACATGAATATCGTAAGGTTAGTCTATGCGTAGCGGAGGAAAACTTTCTATATATGGAGATAGGTAGGAGACATAGGGGTTAATATCAGATATCAACAAAGAAGTAAGGGAATACTCTGTCTGAAGGGTTGCGATAGTCGGGGAAAAATATACAGGAAATCTAGAGAAGAGGAACTGATGCGTTGCGGAGTTGCTCTACCGCACAGCGGACCAACGCGATCCTGGTATGGTGCGGAGGCGGGTACCTACCGACTACTTGTCGGACTCGGTAGGAACCTCCTGCTTAGGTTCGGGGGAAATAGTTGCAGCGCGGGCCTTTGCTGCACGAGAGGAGGACTTGTTACAGTCCCTGGTGGTATGACCTGGCCCGCCACAGAATAGGCAGAACTTACCGTCCAATCGCCTCTGGCGTTCCTCCGCTGTTAATCTTCCGTCCTTCCCAAATTTGGCGGTTAGGTCGGGCGGGGTCGAGCTAGAGGGGGCAGCCAGTTTAGATGCGGACGGGGCGGAGTAGGAGGGTTTGGGAGGTCGGTTGGAGGAGGGCGCAGATTCTTTCGTAGGGGGTGGTGCGGGGGTCTTGGTTTCACGGGAGACTTCCCCCTTCCGTTCCCAATAGTGCGCGTCAATTATCTGCGTGAGGGTTTTGAATTCCGAGAGGGTGGAAGGTTTTCCCTGCCAACTGATTTCATCTTTGATGCGGGGGGCTCTAAGGTGCGGAGCTTGCGAGGATCGGAGCCGTCAAATGTGTTGGGCTCGCGGACCCTGGATTTTGATTCCTCGGGGGTGAAGCAGCGCTGAGAGCTGTGGGTGAGGTTGTCTATTGCCTGTGAAAGGTGGAGAAAAATAAGGTTGCGGGGATCATTGACCGGGAATCTGTCAGCGGGACCCCCTGAGGGTTCGTTGTCTGGTTCTCCTCCTTCATCGTCTGACAGGGGGCCGCCTGAGCCGCCGGGGCCTCCCGACCTGACAGAGCTGACTGAACCTCCTGGCACTCTGGGGCCGTTGACAAGTGGTCCGCTTCGGTCCGCTTTGAGGGTTGGGGAGTAAGAGCTGTTAGCGGTGAGCCGACTAGGAGCGGAGTGGAGAAGGGGGGGAGTGATGCGGAGGGTGGATAGGAGCAGGGGAATGTTGGTAGGGGCGGGAAAGGCGGAGGATAATGCTGAGGGGCGAAGGAGGATATTTTGATAGGGGCAGAGTAATAAGGGGAAGACTTAGAGCATGGCTCTAAGTCGGAGCGGAGGGTCAGAGGGTCGGAGGTGACAACAAGTTGAGACTTGTGTCCAGAGGAGGCAAGGTCCTACTGAGAATTCTCACAGGATATAACTGCGAGAAGACAAGTAATATTAAGACTGAGGAAAATATCTAAGTACATGATATGTTATATACTACTATGTATGAGGCAGTGACCAGGATAACTATGTTGTAAAGCTATGTACCAAGGATATAGTTTGTAAGTGTTTTACACAGGCAAAGACATAAGTCGGAGCGGATATCAATATGTACGCGTCAGATCAGTAATCAAGCGGTAATAGGAATTACCGGTGATGAGCGGAAGCGTAGGGGCGGAGTGCGGACTTGTGAGTGGAACGGAGCGGAGGATGGATGGAGCGGAGGGGGTCGGAAAGCGGAGCAGATATCAATATTGGAGCTGTCGGATCAGGTATATGACACGTACACCCTTCACAATGTTTTGTTGCTAGTGCAACATATCAAATTGAATTGAATTGAATTGCCCTGCTGCACAGCATGTACATGAGTGAGGACGGCTGCATTGTCTTTGAAAGTTCCAGGCAGCAAGGGTAATGGCGCACAGAAAAGTCAGAGCCCCATGGCCCCTACTTCACACCATAGTGCCTGGCTAGGCCCAGCAGAAGTTCTGCAGGGGAGTGAGATGAATCTAGGACGATTATGTGCCTCTGTCATATACCTGATCCGACCACTCCAATATTGATATCCGCTCTGCTTTCCGACCTGCTCCACTCCATCCATCCTCCACTCCATCCAATCACAAGTCCGCATTCCGCCCCTATGCTTCCGCTCAACCGCTCAACCGGTCCCCTTCCATAAACCTCTCCATTCAACTGGATCTCTTTCCCCTTTTAGATATATACTTTCCCCTTCGGTACATAGACCCTTACTTCCGGATCACCGGTAATTCCTATTACCGCCCGATCACTGATCCGATGTGTACATACTGATATCCGCTCTGACTTATGTCTTTGCCTGTGTAAAGTACTTACAAAGTATATCCTTGGTACATAGCTTTACAACATAGTTATCCTGATCACTGCCTCATACATAGAAGTATATAACATATCATGTACTTAGATATTTTCCTCAATCTTGATATTACTTGTCTTCTGGCAGTTACCTCTTGTGAGAATTCTCAGTAGGACCTTGCCTCCTCTGGACACAAGTCTCAACTTGTTGTCACCTCTGACCCTCCGACCCTCCACTCCGACTTAGAGCCGTGCTCTAAGTGCTCCCCTTAATTCTCCGCCCCTACCAATATTCCCTTTATCCCTTTCCCCATCCTCTGCATTATCCTCTGCCTTCCCCGCTCCTACCAAACCTTCCCCCTCCTCCTATCCACCCTCCGCATCACTCCCCACCTTCTCCGCTCCGCTCCTAGTCGGCTCACCGCTAACAGCTCTTACTCCCCGACCCTCAAAGCAGACCAAAGTGGTCCACTCGTCCTATCGTTGGACAACATCAGACCCACTCCAAATTCGGGGCACGTACTCGGCTAAGGGCACAGCGCAAGAGCTGAAGCCAAGCCCTGACCCCTCTGCTTCCTGAGCCAGCACGGTACCTAACAGCCTCCAACCGCCAGACCTTGCAGAGCACTCCCAGTATTATTAGAAGGCCTTATCTGGGTGCAGGGGGGATGCCATATAAAGCAAGAATGAGTCCCAGCAGCAACCCCCCCAGGCAGTACAGCCCAGGAATGCTCAGCCTGGTAAAGGGCGGAGGGGGCACTGCCCCGCCTAACATAACTCTGGAGTACACCAGATGCACCTGCCATGACAGGCAGGCATATGTTAGACGGTTGGGACTGCAGATCAATACATAGATGCAAGTCCAAACCCCATTAAAAGCAGAACTGACTTACTTAAGTCACAGAAGGTGGGGCGACAACAATGACATTGAAGTCCCAGCAACAACCCCTCCCAGGCAGTACAGCCCAGGAATGCTCAGCCTGGTGAAGGGCAGAGGGGGCGCCGCCCCACCTAACATAACTCTGGAGTACACCAGATGCACCTGCCATGACAGGCAGGTGTATGTTAGACGGTTGGGACTTCAGACCAACACATAGACACAGACCGAATCCTATTAGAAGTAGAGTGACAAGGGGACTTACTTTTTCAAGCATATTATAGGTGGGTGGCACGCGTGATGTGGACGGATGCAGAAGTAAGGAGCAAAGAAACAAAGCAACAAACACGCAAATAAAGAAACAAAGAAACAAAGAAACAAAGGGAGAGAGAGAGAGAGGGAGAAACTAATAAAAAACCATGACCAAACAAGGGCTTGTAGATGGTTGAAGAGAGAAAGAAAGAATGAACGAAAGAAAGAAAAATCAACCACAACCAAACAAGGCCAGACAAATAAACAAACAAACAAACCTCAATCATGTGACATATCAATCACCACCAATCATCACTTGGTTAGCGCATTATTTATGGGGAAATCATTCTTTCCTACCGGGAGATTGGGGTCTGGTGTAATTTGTCACGTTTTGTCCAATAAATATCACTATATAACAAATGAGATGCAAGGAAATTCACGTCCACTGAGATGAACAATGGTCAGTCCGAACACGTGTATTCTTACCAAGGGTTGTGGCAATGCCGCATCAGGTATAAAACAAAACACGGCCATTTACACCATGCTTCTTTCTTTCCTTCCATCATTCCATTTCTCCACACCATGCCTCCTAAGAAAAACAGTAAATCTACAGCAGGTGGCCACTTCTCAGGAATTACTCGTGCAGGGCCGGGAACCGTCGACATTGGCAGCATGGTGCCTCAGCACAGCATTGCTGGGACGTCTGTCGAGATGCCCAGCAACCTAGGCCATGATGGGCAGGTGGTCAGATCCACCGAAGCCCGTTCCCTTACCACAGCCGTGTCATCCGGCGTCCAACAAACTGAGGCCAGTGGAAAATCCAACAATCCCTCATTTCACGCCATAAACATCGGCAACTACTGCCACTTCTGTTGCGACCACATCCAACAACCATACTGCCATGAATGCGTCGATTGCGGCGGCATCATGTGCCAACAGTCCATTCCTTGGGGCAGCAGCTGCATCTATTACGGAACAGTGGATACCACCAAGGACGCTCCACTGCCCTATGCTGTCCTGGGATACTGGATACGGAAGAAAGTTAAGATGGCCTGGCCCATGGCAATCGTCAGCCTGAGTCTGGAGTCCCTGAAAGACAACTACCTAGCATCAACGGTGAGATGTGAGGTAGAGTATCACTACAAGGATAATCGTGAGAATGTACATGTAACTAACGTGACTTCGAGGCAATGCTGAACATTCTGTATTCTTAGCTGTTCGTGAAAGAGTTGCACATGCGCGGGGGTGCGCATGTGACCCAGTCCAGGAAGCTTGCTGAAGGCGTTAGCTTCATGAAACATAACATTGAAGCTGGATTTCCCCCCAACACATTTGTAATCGTCGACACCCATTCCAACAAGTACAGCGGAATGCTCCAGCACACTGGAGGGCACACCGGCAGCACCAACACCACGATCACAGAGAAATTGTGACCACGTACCTCGGCGAGGAGTTCCTGAAAGGCACGGCAAACGCTTCGCTTGCTGCAACGAGTGACGAATCCGTCATCACCACAAAGACAGGCAAAGAGCCATGGTGCAAGCTCACCCCCAATGCCAGAGGGGGCAGAAGAGTACTGATGCTGGTAAGCTGCGGCCCTGCAATCAGGGTTCACCATCACTTCAATTCCATGGTAAAGCTGGTGGATAAGTACGTCTCATCTTCTGATACATCCACCACTCACTCACCTCACTATCCCTCAGAGACATGTTTGATTTTGTGCTGGGGTTCAGTGGATCAGGGATGTTGCCGTCCTTCATATCAACAATCATGAGATCTCTCATTGTCGAGTGTGGGGTGTTCGGAGGCACAGACGTCTAGGCGTCGTTTTGCAACATGATTGCTGCAAATCAGGGCATCTTGAATTACACTACTGCTGTCCTGGTGTATGCCACCACCACCAAAGGCAAACAAAATGTCGAGTGTCATCAGATAGCGAAGAATAGCCCTGGGCGCCATGCATTTGGCACTGAATACAGGTCCTGTGGCACAGCAGGGTGCAATCTGTCTGTGACAAACATATGTGTGTACAATCGCAGCACAGGTAGACCCAAGGTGAGTGCCTAGTGCTTCAAGTGCATTTCAACGTGTTAATCATGATGACCAGGTGAGTCTACTGTGCTTGAAGTGCGGTTGGACATCTGTGTGGGTGAGGACGGATGAAGACAACGAGCATTTCAAGAGGGTTCACCCAGTCCTGGCACCACAAGTCTTCTGGCACCATTTCCCGCCTTCCACAGGCCTACAAAACTTTTTCGTAGATCTCACCGACAATAACAAGGACAAATCATCTCAATCATGCAGGGAAAAGGAGGGCAAGAGCAAAGGAGGCAAAGGGAACGCAAAGAAGAGACGTCATGCCGTGATGGACGAACACATGATGGAGGATGAAGTCAATCCTATTGCCATGGATGTCGATGCATGAGATGCGCGCACGTCACAAGTAGTGAATTGCATGTATTGATAGCATACTGTGCGATAAAGTGAAGCTTGCTACTCTGCACATGGCTGTCAAGCCGCATACTGGACGATTCAATTGTAGCTAAACAATCTGGGTGTCCAATGCACCATCATAATCACCCTGGTACCATACTATTAGTTTAACGTGCAAAACCCATCGGGGTATAAATCAAGTGCTTGATGACACAGAGCCGTGGATATGTCAGTTTCTGGGGTGGGGACTCAAAGTGGATCCAGCATCGGTCTGCTCACAATACAACACCTGTGATTTCACTGGAGTTTTACAGGAGTTTATATACTGTAGGTATCATGTAAGTAATCAGTCAGCAAAGTAAAAGCTATGTCTGAAGCATATGGAGGGTCTATTAGTAAGTGTACAATGGATCAAGGAAATGAGGTCGGAAATGAAGTGCAGATGGACGGATCAGTAAGCAAAGTGGAAAGGTGTACAACCAGTAGCCAGAGAGCAGTATTCTAAAAGGAGATAGGTGTGAGTCTAGAGATGAAAGTGGAGCACCGGGTGGACAACAGGATGGAGACCCGGACTTTCATAGGGGTGAATCCAGAATTCCAGGTCTGGAGGTACTGGGATATGACAGCTACCTGGAGTATATAAGATATCCTGTACTTGGCCTAGGTTCCTCAGTCTTAATATTACCTGTCTTCTCCAGTTTCTACTATGGGAATTCTCCGTAAAACTTTGCTCAACTCTAGACACAAGTTTCACCTTGTTGTCACCTCTGCTCCTCCACTCCAACTTAGAACCATGCTGTCATATACCAGATCCGACCACTCCGACATTATTGATATCCACTCCACCTGACTCTATATTCTTCTGCTTTCCTCTCACTTCCACTCCACCTGCTTCCACCCAACCCAGTCAGTCCCTGCATCTGCTCCTACACTCCTGCTCGACCGCCTCATTGGTTACCTCCTCACATAGGTTCCATTCAACTGGACCCCCTTTCCCCATTTAGGTACATACATCCCCTTTCAGTACATAACTCTTACTTCTTGGATCACCGCTTATTACTATAGCCATCCAATTACTGATCTGTCTCATACATATTGATATCTGCTCTGACTCATATGTTTTCCTTGGTAATCCTACTTACATACTGTACACTCAGCACATAGCATTATGCTATGTATTACTGATCACTGCCTTGCTACCTAGAGTATATAACATATCATGTACTTAGCCTGTATTTCCTCAGTCTTAATATTACTTGTCTTCTCCCAGTTTCTACTGTGGGAATTCTCTGTAGGACTTGCTTAACTCCAGACACAAGTTTCATCTTGTCATTGCCTCTACTCCTCTGCTCCAACTTAGAGCTGTGCTCTAAGTCATTACCTTTACTTCCCTCTATCTAATAATCTTACCTCCAATCCCCCTAATCCCTTCCACCTCTCTGCCTGCTTACTAGTCAGCCTACCTACTAGTAACCCTTTACTTCCCAACCCTCAAAGCAGATCAAAGTGGTCCACTTGTCCTATTGTCAGACAACATCGGTCCTGCTCCAAATTTGGGGCACATACTCGGCTAAGGGCACAATGCAAGAGCTGAAGCCAAGCCCCAACCCCTCCACTTCTCCATTCCAAGCACGGTATCTAACAGATAGGGTAGAGTCAGGCAGTCCACTTCAAGTGATATTGGGAGTGGTCAGAACTGGTATATGACAGCTGCTAGCCTTGGTACACAGCCTGATGACATCCCATTCATGTTTGGACAATGAGAGGAGCTGCTGCTGCAGTAAGTGGTTCCAAGTCCAGACTCAGAGACTTGGAGCAGTGATACAGAATCGTACTTGAAGTGTGACTCTGAAGATGGTAGTCATGGCAAGGTGGAGCCAATGGAAGGGTTTGAAGAATTGGATGACTGTGTAGTGGTCACAATCATAGGCTTGTATTGCAATGATGACTTGGAGGCCTTGGATGAGTCTGAGCTGGCAGGTGCAATGGTTCCTGATGACAATAATACATTGCAGCCATGGCATTCGAATTAACATGTGCATGCCACCAACAGTTGAAGCCACAGCTCTGGCATTGGCTGACCTGAAGAAGTCACTCTGCCCATCTCTGGCGAGTCATAACAGACCTGGAAACAAAGTAGCCAGCTGTAGTACATTACTTCAGAAGCAGCTAACATGGATGGAATACTTTCTATGAGCCTTTGTGAATGGCAAACCGTGGTCAGCTGCTGCACTCCAGACAGCACAGTTTATCAGCAAAGGCCCATACATGTCCCAACAAGTAAGACAGTGGTTAAAAGCATTTATCCAGGATTGCAAGGACATTCCAGTAGCCACCGCAACATCACATGATCCGGACCTTATTAGCTTGTCATTCCCAGTATGGTATGACAAGCTAATAAGCTCGGAAGGCCTTGTATCCCTATACTGCCAGTAATTACCCCAATAAATGCTTTTATCTTACCTTCGCAAAAACAAGGACTTAGTCAACTGTGAGACCAGTCCTTTGCTGCCGAGTATGACAAACAAAACATACCCAAAACGGCAACAACATCACGCAACCACTGTTCGTCATTGCCAGCAGCATCCAGGGCCTTTGTGCTCATCATCATCCACGACGAGCTCAATAACTCGCTTGTTTCTCAGCCGTTTCTTTCACTTTTTCTTGTCACTATGTTTATCACATCCACCACTCACTCGCCCCTAGCGTTTACGCATTACTAAATGATGCAACTGACACGTGTCTGCAGTGGTATTTCCACATACTATAGTGACCTATGTCCGTATTAGACGAGACAGCCAAGGGACATAGAATCCGTGTCAGATGAGGCAGCGGACATGGGCCAATGAAGTTAGTATCCTCGATGGTGACAGATGGGCCAATACCTATATTATACTCGATGGAAATGGATGGGCCCATGAGGCTAGTATTGGTAGTGTATATGAAATCAATTTGTGGGCCCATCTCAAGTGAGTCATTTATACAATGGGCCAAAGGAAGGATATCATTTAGACAGATGGGCTGAGCCTCGGAAGTGTATAATTTAGACAGGTGGGCTTATCTCTAGTGAGTCATTTATACAGATGGGCCGAGGGCAGGATGTCATTTAGACATATGGGCCAAACCTCGGAAGTGCATAATGTGGACAGGTGGGTCCATCTCTAGAGAGTTATTTAGATAAATGGGCCGAAGGCAAGATATCATTTAGACAGATGGGCCGAGCCTCAAAAGTGGATCATTTAGATAGGTGGGCCCATGTCTGTATGATATCACGTAGACAGGTGGGCCGGGGGCAGGATATAATTTAGACGTATGGGCCGATGGAAGTGTATGATTTAGACAGGTGGGCTGAGGGAAGGGGAGAATTTAGACAGGTGGGCCCATGTCTGTGCAGTAAGGTGAGCGAGATATGAGCATCATATTATTTCCCAGGTGTATGCGAGGCTCAGAGGTTCGATGTTTTTAATATCGGGTGGCGATGCTGTCAGTCATCGTCACACAAATAGCCCATGATTTCAGGAGTCGGTCAGAATTTAGATCATCTCAAACAGATAAGATATCAGCGAGATATGAGCATCATACAATGTACTGGGTGTATCTGAGGCTCAGATATTCGATGTGTGTAATATCGGGTTGTGATGCCTTCAGTCATCGTCACACAGATAGCCACTGATGTCAGGAATCTGAGAATTTAGATCATCTCAACCCGGGTATCAATGACATCGAAGTAGCTTTGCAAGTGTGCATGACTGACAGGTCTGTGTGGTATCAGGTAGATAGATGTGCCAAAGGCAGGATATCATTTGGATACATGGGCCGAGGGGAGTGAATATATCATAGACAGGGTAGGCTGATATCAGGGTTTCTTGTAGATAAATGGGCCAAGGGCAGGGTATCATTGGTGGGCCGAGGGCAGGATATCAATGACATTGAAGCAGCTGGTAAACTGTGGATGACTGCCAGCAGTAACCTGATTCAGGTTTGATGAGGCATTCCGACGAGACTGTTGATATATACATCCAGCCCTCCAAAGACCCTGTTCCTCCAAATCAATATCATCAGTGCTGAATATTTGAAGGTAGTGTTGTGGGATTCCTTCACACCTACTCATCAAGTCTCGGGGCCACAATTAAAACAAACTGAAGTGCTCACAAAAACCGAGGCTGTTCTGATGTGCATATGGGTCGACGTTCAGGATTGGTGATGAGGATCGACAAGCAAAAATAGATTTGTCCCGCCTCGAGGATGCAGGAACAACTTAGAATTGTTATACTACTGTTCTGGTGAACCACAGGGTCCAATATGTATGTAAAGGACATCATATATACCAGAATTGTCCATAGATCAGGCTACCGAGGAATCAGTCAAGACATCGACATGATCTGAAATATTGAACAGAGAAATACACCAGCATACAACAATCATTAGACCTCGGGTGTGGCAACGATCTCATCCACTGGTGTCAACAGTGGGGTCAACAGCGGGGCATCAATCTCATCAACCATGGTCACCGGTGGGTTGACCACCCCATCCATCTCGATGTTGTCATCATCATACTGCCCAAGCGATTGAAGGGCCCCGGTCGCCTGTGACTCCATGGGAAGAGGTGGGGGAGCTTCGAGAGGAGGAGGTGGGAGTGATACTGAATGAGTCCGAGGAGTGTGAAGAACATTCCGATCAAGGATAAGGCTTGGGAAGTGTTAGTTGTGGTGATTGAGCACCTGATGGTGCGAGTTATTTGTGTTATGATGTTGCTTCCTCTATTGGACTCTCACTTAGCATGTGATGTGAATTCCTTACTTACTTAGGCAGTGTTTACACTTGTTTACATAGACTCGCCCATAGGTAGCAAGTCCTGTGTTGGTTGCTCTTCAGCAACTGACACTGGACTATAGGTATAGTACACTCATTAGTTTACACAACACAATAGCAACTGACACTGGACTATAGTCCTGTTCACTCTCATTAGCTCACTTGTGGCTTGGTTCACTTGGTTATTCTAACAGGAAGGTCATCCAGAGCCTGCGACGGATCAACAGTAAGATGGGTGATGCCGAAAACATTGTTGAGGAGATTATTGATGGGGGAACGAGGCTTCAGTGCATGTGGGCGAGGCGAGGATGGTCCAGCAATCATGGGGGACGGTTCGATCTTCACCAGCACCTCCTCGATATCGACCAGGGGGAAAGATGGAAACCAGGCAGCTACCTGACGGCAAAGGCCTTCATGCAGCCAAAGGAGGGTGTCAATCTGGCCACCTTGATCTTGCACTCTGGCCTCGAGAGTGATGATGCGGGCCTGCAGAGCCAAAAGCTCGGTCTGCGGTGGGGCCGGGGGAGCAAGACCAGGGTTGGATGTCACTGTACTCGAACGAGCAGGAAGTGCAGGCATCAGGACATGAGACATCACTGGAATACTGTGAGTATGACAGAGACATAGTGTAATAGAAATATGACCAACCAACTGGTGGAGGCCGGGCAGTTGATGTGGTCAATGCCCGAGGGGGTGCCTTTGAGGGTGCTTTTGAGGCAGCCCGCGAGCGAGACCTTGATGCTGTCCTCGTTGATGTCCGTGTTGGTGTCCATGAGGGTGCGGGCCTCCCTTGACCATCTCGAGGGACAGTAAGAGGCTTGTCAAGCTGGGCCGATCAACACTTTACCTTCCTCCAGGTGCATGAGACACACGAGGCTAAGGCATCGCCCTTCACCCTGTACCAAGTCTCACACATCACTTCCTTCTTCTCACAGTCTGTACATGGATCATTCTGCAGAAGTTGTCAGGTGGCGGCAAAGATACCACAAGGCGTGAACTCACCGGGCCAGGGACATATCGTCCAATCATGGGGCCAAGTGCCAGTGTGCCTTCAGGCCGAGAAGACACCTTGGATGGCATCGATGACATTGCTGGCTTGTCTGACGTTGACCTGTCTGATGTGGTCTGCACAACACGTCAGTCAGGAAATATTTGAACAGGATATGGCTGCTTACCAGCGATGCAGGACATTTGCTCAACGGGCCCCACATGGCCTTCTTGCCTAGGGAAGCAGGCGATGTGATCGAGCGAGAGCCGGATGCAACCTGACATTGTCAGCAGGGAAAACAGAGAAAGTGACAGTGAAGCCATACCTGACCTGGCCTCTTGACAATTGTTGTCCCCAATGTTGCATGCTCCTGCGCCCAATGCAATGCATGAGCACCCGGTGTCATCATGTTAGCATCAGCAGCACATACCTTTGATCCAGAGTCCAATCGACATTGGAGTCATCGATGAACTCCATCGACTTTGGGACCTCTTCCAACTTTGTTCATTTGCGAACCTTCATCGCTGATGGTGGAATCAACCTCTTCTCACCCACCTTCGGGACGGCGGTCTTCGAGGCCTTCGATCTCAGGCCCATCGAGATCTCTGGCTCCTCATCCTTTGCCTTCCCCTTCCCCTTGTCCTTCACTGATGATCTGATCAATTGCAGAAGCAGACTTCGATGCAAAGGTCATGTCATCAACAAAGACAGGCAAGATGATCCTGACTTCACCCTTGACATAGATATAGATGCTGGCATCAGAGTAGGACTGGGTGAATCCAATAGACTCGAGAACAGAGCGCATTTTCTTGTTCCAGCGATTGCCACCTTGCTTGGTTCCATAGATGCTCTTCTGAAGAAGGCAGACCATCTTCTTGGGATCACCTTCAGCAAAGCCTTCAGGTTGTTCCATGTAGACGTCGCAGTCCATCTCCCCATTGAGATAGGCATGTGAGATGTCGATGGAGCGAAGGTGGAGGTCATGGATGGCAGCCATAGCAAGGACAACACGAATGGTGGGCATACGCACAGTTGGAGCAAATATTTCGACATAGTCAAAGCCAGGACGCTGGTTGTAGCCCTTGGCAACAAGTCTGCCCTTGTAGCGCTCAATAGAGCCATCAGCATTGCGCTTCACCTTGAATATCCACTTGGAGCCAATGACCTTGATTCCAGCTGGTCTAGGTACGAGTTTCCAAGTCCCATTGCTGCGATGAGCATTGAGTTCCTCAAGAGCTGCTTGATTCCACTGCTCTGCATCAAGTCGAGTCAATGCCTCCCTGTAAGACAATGGCTCGGTGGTAGAGCTGGTAGACAAGGCAAGCTCAAATCCTTGAGCAAAGTCAGCATCCTCAGTCTCATCATCAACAACATCAGTTAGCTGAGCTGGAGAGAGCTTCCACCAGTCTCTGGGAGGTTGCCTGTTGCGTCGAGGGAGTCTGGCACCAATGCCTATGGGAGATGGTGGTCTAGGAGGTGGATTGGGACGAGCTGCAGGAGGAGGAGTGACTGGATCAGGAACAGGGACGACAGGAGGGACATCAGGAACTGCTGGAGGCACCACATCTCCCCCTTGATCCAGTGACTTATCAGAACTGGACTCATCATAGTCAGAGTCAGAGTCAGAGTCATCTGGATGAGGAGGATAGTAATATGAGGGCGCTGCTGGGGGCTCAGAGGTAGTCTTCGACTGTCTGGGAGGATGGGGAGCATTGACAGGAGGTGCTGGAGCGATGGGAGCTGGAATGGATGGACTGGATGGGCGCTTGGACAGAGGGAAGTATCTTTCATCAAAGTCAGCCCTTTCACAGATGATTGTCTTCTTGGAGGTGGGGTTGTAGAACTTCCAGCCCTTGTAGCCAGCAGGGTAGCCAATGAAGATGCACTTTTCCATGTGGGAGCCAAGTCCATCTCTCTTGTCCCTCTGGACGTGCACATAGGCAGTGCATCCCCAAACTCGAAGATGTGAGACATCAGGCTTATTACCATGCCACAGCTCATAGGGTGTAGCGCTGTCTACAGCTTCGGTAGGGCATCTGTTCCAGACATGGACCAGAGCAGCAAGACACTCGCCCCAGAAGGCCTTGGGAAGCCCAGACTCGTCCAGCATAGCAGTGAGTCGCTCAGAGAGGACTCTGTTAGCTCTCTCAGCAACCCCATTCTGCTGTGGTCTAGCACGAACAGTGTGCTGCCTCTCAATGCCACACTGGGTGGTGAATTCAATGAAGGCATTGCTCATGTACTCCCCTCCCTTGTCATCTCTGAGGATCTTTAGCTTTCGCTCTGACTGGTTCTCAGCATAGGCCTTGAATGTCTTGAAAGCCTCAAAGACATCAGATTTAGCTTTAATAGGGAGCACAAAGCGAAATCGAGAGAAGTCGTCGATGAACGTGACCCAATAGCGATAGCCAGAGAAGCTGGGGTAGGGGACCTTATGGACATCGGTGTGGACAAGCTCCAGAGGTCGAGTAGCACGCCATTGAGATGAGGGGAATGGGTTTGCATGCATCTTGCCAGCTAAGCATGGCTCACAGATGGGATCTGGCATCTTCTTCGAATCTAGCTTGAGTCCAGTGACCATGTCATGATCAATAAGCTTCTTGACACCTGCTAAGTGATGGTGGGCGAGTCTCCTGTGCCATAGGTCCAAGTCCAGAGGTAGAGTGGTCGCTGCAGAGGCATATTCAGAGAGAGGGATGGTGGAGCCATCTAAGAATGCTGCATTGCTGCTGCTGATGGGTGCAACAAACAATGTGGTGCCTGCAGGACACTGAAATGACATCTTGGTGGAGTCAATGGTGACATGGAAGCCACTGTGGCGAGTGAGGTAGAGGACAGAGAGCAGGTTGTTGCGAAGGTCAGGGACATGCAACACTCTTGAAAACTCGACAGGTCTAACGCTCTTGCCATCAATGACTGGGTTGAAGACCATAGTGCCAACACCAGCAGAGTAGACAAAGGTGTTGTCAGCTAGCTTGATAGGGATGCGATTGGGAGTGTAATTGCGAAGCCAGTGACGATGAGGGGTCATGTGGGATGTGGCACCTGTGTCTGCATTCCAGTCGACAGTAGCATCAAGTTGAAGGGGACAGATGGTGCTTGAAGGGTCAAAAGAGCGAAGACAAGCAGTGCCAGCAAACTCAATGATAGCAGAGTTGATAGGAATAGGAAAGGAAGTGGGAGAGGGCGATGCAGTGGGGTCTGTGAGACTCTGAGTCTTCCTGGAGAGCTTCTTGGTCTTCTTTCTCCTGTTACGACGCTGTCTAGAGTACAGGGAGGCAAGGGTAGACCAGATAAGCACAGGATGATCTTCAATAGCATCAATCTGCGACCTCATCTCCAATGGGCAAGCCAGATAGAGTTCCCCAGCAGCTTGGTCAGCCTTAAGGTCCCATACAGCCTGTGCCTCAGGCTGTGAGTCTGCAGGACGCTTCTCAGAGCCACTGACAAGCAGCCACAAGCCCTTGGAGCGCAGGTAAGACTCCATCTCTGATCTCCAGATAAGATAGTTGGAAGAGCTGAGTTGAGTGATAGTCATGGGCGACATAGCAAGGGATTGGGTGGCGAGCAGGACGGTCTAGGATGATGCAGGACGTTCAGGAAAGCAATGGATAGGACAGGGAGCGACAGGGGTGGGAGTGAGGGACAGGGGGTAGATGACCAAAAGGGGCTATGGAAAATTTCAACAAAGCCACTTGGTTGAACTACTCAAAAGCAACACAATGGGTGTTCCAACAGTCCAAATGGTGCTCAGACACAAAGATAAGGGTTTCCTGGGGCGTAGAATGCGATGGAATACACTAGGGAAGGAGTGGAGCAGTGGTTGGATGAGGAATGAATGACTTGAGGTCCTTAAAGCGCAGGGCTCATAACCTGTTAGAATAACCAAGTGAAGCAAGCCACAAGTGAGCTAATGAGAGTGAACAGGACTATAGTCCAGTGTCAGTTGCTATTGTGTTGTGTAAACTAATGAGTGTACTATACCTATAGTCCAGTGTCAGTTGCTGAAGAGCAACCAACACAGGACTTGCTACCTATGGGCGAGTCTATGTAAACAAGTGTAAACACTGCCTAAGTAAGTAAGGAATTCACATCACATGCTAAGTGAGAGTCCAATAGAGGAAGCAACATCATAACACAAATAACTCGCACCATAAGGTGCTCAATCACCACAACTAACACTTTGATGTTGAACGCTGGGTCGCCTCGCTTTTGCCATTTGATGGCCCTCGATGCCCATGGATGGACACCCACTCGGACATCATTGAATCCGATTGAGTGCCAGTTCGGCGACCTCGAGAAGCCTCCAGTGACCGAGTCGCAAGCACCCTGCAATTCCTTTGCACAGGACAATATAGCCCCAGGGATGCATGTGGCACCTTTCTGATCTCTGAAAAAGGCACTCTATCGTGGCACGGTAACAGTCAGATAGCAAAGAAGTCAAAACAACATAAACACACTCACAATGGCTGCAGCCGTCCGTTCGGCCAAACGGATATGAACCACCTCGGGCTCATCATCCATGACCCGAGCGGCCTTGACTAGTTCAAGCACAGCCTCCACCGAAGTGGTGAAAGCAGGAGTCATGGAGTCAACTTGGGAAGACATTGTTGGGACTTGGGATAGATCTGGATAGATGGCTGAATGTGGATGTATGAAACACAAGGCAATTGAAGAACAGAACAGTGGAAAGAGGGCCGATAAATGTTCTTAGTGTTTACATTTATTTGTGCAATGTTGACCTTCTCGGCAATTCCCATCAAGACATGCACAAGATGATTTGCAAAGACTCATCGATTCCAACACCCATGGCAACACATCACCCAGTACAATTTAATGACCCCATAATCACAGGTGTCAATGAACCAATCACATGGAATTCGAGCCAATCATCGACTTCCATAGGTGAGTACGATCTTGTTCTCAGCCCAGTCTCCATCTAACACCATTCGAAGTGGGATTGAGTGCATCGACATCTGCTGGATTCAAGGACATAGATTTCTTGATGGGTTCCATTTACCTTGGGCCGGAGGATGACCTCCCGGTGCCATCTTCAGTAAATGCTTCATCAATCGGTATGATCCATTCCTTCTCCTCACCATGTCCTAACGCTTCTCAGAACATATCGATCTCAGTCCCGAGGATGATGGACCCGAGCCTCACCCTGGCTGGACTTCGATGTTTGGTGAGTACGTTCAATGGGCAATGCCAGATGGAATTCATGTAGACCAGCCAGGACACTTCCCCAGACATTCAATCTGGGGCCAGAGGAGGATGCTCCGGAGCTTCACCCTGGGTGAAAATCCATCATAAGTTTGTGCATCGCATCGATCACTTGTTGGTTGCTAATTTACTCGTTGTGTCAGCCACTGTGGGCAATACTCCTGTGTTGCCTACCCATTCAAGCTCATCGGTGTTGATGGCGGATGTTGAAATGACCGAATCGTTGATGCCGGCTCTTGATGTAACCACGGGACCATCCAACCACCACCTGGATACCATTTCATACCATTTCATCCCTCATCACTCAATTGTACAAAGATATTGGTCACTGCACACCATCGACATCAAAACCCACTTCACCGATGTCAGAGCAGGAGTTGCTTCGCATGTCAAAATCGATCCTGCACATCAACAGCCTCGATGACAACACTTGTAAGTCAATTCAATCATCATCCTCATTGAACCTCATGGGCCTCAAAGTTTGATGTTCCCATGCACACTTCTATCATTTGTTGGATGATGACCACACAATCCTGGAACCATCGCTGCAAGATATCCTTGAACTTGAGCGACCTTTCCACACTGCATTCACTGACAATACGGACAAGCTCCATCGGGCAACGAAGGATCTCAGGCAAATGGAGAAGCAGAGGGCGATGAATCTCGAGCTACTCCATATGCTCGATCACTTCATAACGCAGGTCCAGGATGACTGGCATACACAACAGGGTATATCACATAGTTAGCAGTTGTATAAGATGTAGCTTTAGATACCATGAGCAAAAATAATTGTAACAGGAGCTGGGGGACCAGATTGATGAACTCCACCATCATCCAACCCTTCACGGGCTGCACCTTCTTCATCCGCTTCTGGGCTGTGAGGGAGTCCCTGGAAGCATACATCATCCCAGGTATGAAGCTCCAGTCACTCAAGGCATACATCATCCCAGTGGAGTAGCTGCTTCGATTATCATTCTCCAGTGAAGGAGTCTCTCGAAGCATATATCATCCAAGATAAGTACCTCCCTTGATGATGAGTCTGCAGTGAAGGAGTCCATTGAAGCATACATCATACCAGGTAAGTAGCTCCTTCGATGATCATTCTAATCTGACCACAGATCAACACAATCCATGTCACTTCACCATTATCATCATAGATCCAGAAAGTGGACCTCGGATGGCAGGAACATCTTGCATAGTGTATATCCTATGTGGAGACAATTCTGTAATGCTACACTAAAGTGCTGCCTTTGCCTCACCTCGATTGAGTTACCCGACCCCAAAATACCTCTGTTTCCTTGGCAACAGTCTTGCTCCTTGTTGTCCTCGACTGCTTTGTGGCGCGAGGTGATATGAGCTGACCTTCCACTGCCCGTTGTTTGCCACCAGCCCTTTTACCACCCTGGCTGTTGATCTTGCAGCTTCCACTGGATCAACCAGCTCACCCTGACCGTTCTTCCACCTTTTAAACTTGAAGACTGGTGGAACTCCGTTCTCCTGTCAATCATACCAGAAATCGAGCAAGGCTATGGTCTTGGTGGTCTGCAGTTTCAGTGGGTCCTTGACCTGGACCAATATTGTGTTAGAATAACCAATTGAACCAAGCCACAAGTGAGCTAATGAGAGTGAACAGGACTATAGTCCAGTGTCAGTTGCTATTGTGTTGTGTAAACTAATGGGTGTACTATACCTATAGTCCAGTGTCAGTTGCTGAAGAGCAACCAACACAGGACTTGCTACCTATGGGCGAGTCTATGTAAACAAGTGTAAACACTGCCTAAGTAAGTAAGGAATTCACATCACATGCTAAGTGAGAGTCCAATAGAGGAAGCAACATCATAACACAAATAACTCGCACCATAAGGTGCTCAATCACCACAACTAACATATTGTCAGGGAGGTACCGACTGGATATGAAGTCACCCTGGCATTCCATGATGGCTCTCCAGGGAACCACACTCTTACTGCAACGTCCTTTGTTAGTGTCAGAATGTGAGCTGCAATACATGATCGAAGACAGCTCACTGTAGTTTTCAGTGAGAAATGACCGGACTATGGCTTTTTTCTGCTCGAGCCTGTTGCCAGTTGTATCAGGCAACACTGGTACACGTCGCCATCAACCTCCAGCTCAAAGGCCAGTTTCTTCGTCTTCTTCCTGAAGCCAACATCTCGGATGCCTCCACCCTCAGCAGCATCCACACCTACCAAAGTCATGGACTATTCAAGTCAGGTAACTGTTCCTCGGCATACTCCTGCCAGACAGGCAGGATATTTGACCAGTCCTTCATCTTCATAAAGCTGTCCCCTCTGAACTTATCATTGAAGTCATGTGTTCCACACAGCACCTCGCCCTTCTCATCCTTCCAAGCTGTAACCATGAAGACTCTCATCCCACATTGCCTCCACATCTCCTTGGTGAAATGTTCGATGTATGTTGGGCCTTTCTTGGTTGCAACTGAGGCCTGGATCTCTGGGGGTGGAAAGTCATTGGACCATTTTTCAGCGGTCTCCTTTGCGATCTCCATCTCGTTGGCAGGCATCTTGTCGACAACCTTTTTCACAGTTCCCTGGTAGTATTTGAACATCTGAGGATTGCCTGGCTTCAGCCCAGTCTCATCCTCGATCCTCTGCAGCACCTGGTCTCTCTTTTCATGAGATACCACCATCCTAGCAGTCCACTTCTTCCAGTACTTGATCTTATCTCTCCTCTGCTTTACCTTTGTGTGATTGTACAGCCAGGTGCGATAGATCTGGATGCCAGCGTGATCAGCACAGTATGTGTGAACACCATTCACTGACCTTGCGCCTCTTCTTCAACAGTTTGTCATTGAGCTTGGGACTGAAGAACTGCACCACTCAGCAAATGGCATTGAAGATGTTTTTCTGCTCGTGTCTCTTTGCTGAAGCCCATGTATCCTGTTGAGCCTTGAGTTCAAGAACCTCGGCTTTTCTCAGGGCTTGATTGCTCGGAAAGGCTGTTTTCGGAGGTCGTGGCATAGGATGTCGAATGTATGGCAGTCCAAGCAATGTTACAAGGAATTTTTAACGATCCTGAAGTTTGGTTCACTTAATTCAGAGTTCCAGTCTAGGTCGGATCAGTGTTTGTAAGGCATAGGTATGAATGAATGAGATGATGCAACAAAATACATATTGTATCTTGCCTGTCGCTTCATCCTTGCCATGGGGTCACAGATAATTAAATGCAATCCTCGCATGAGATCACATTTGGTGGCCCTCATGGGCAAGAAAGGCAGGCAAAAGTGGAAGAAGGTGCCTCATCCAAAAAAAACATAGAACAGCAGTGCAGTCTCCCCTGGACACACAAACAGTGCAACCAGTTGCAGGTCCATCCATTTCGAATGACATGGGTGATGAAGTTCAGGAGCTTGACCACCAGGCTTTCCACCCTCTGCCACTTCCAAGCTCCCTAGCAAGTGCATTCATATGGTATTTGCTTGCAGATGGCTCATTACAGCAATGTCCCAATAGAGTCAGAATGACTACCTCAGGCAATGGCTCCTAAAACGAGATTCTTATGTGCATCACCTGCTCGATAGAGAAGCTCCTCCAGTGCACAGGAATTGCTTGATCTGCGGGCTCGATGGAGTGTACAAGTGCCAGGATTGTCTAGGGCGATGCTGGGCTGATCATACATCTGGGTCATGATGCAACAGGATGTGCAGCTGCTGATGATCGCTGGGATATTTTCAATCAGGAGGAATCAGAAGATGAGATGATCCAGAGGACACTCCATCAATGTCAGCTCCTTGGGTACAAGCTCAGAGGTGCAGAGATGCTCATCGTGGACAAGTCCGGGGGTCCATTGACTGCAGATTCGATGTTGCGAGTGTCCTGCAGCCCAGAAGCCTGACATACAGCTCTTTCGGGCAGGACTCTTTCCAGCATCCTTCATCAACCCAAAGACTGTGTTCACCTTTGCTGTGCTAGATGACTTTCTGTTGGACAATTTGGAATGTGGCACATCAGCAATGAACTACTACAGCAAGCTTCAACGCAGCACTTCGAGCGCATTTCCGCACCTTGTGCTGGTAACTCGCCATGATCCCTTTCCTGTGTGATCTGTATTGATGGCATGAATGCAATGGGATCGGTACAGAGAGCTCATGAGAGTGGCTTGCCAGTGGAGGCAGCTGAAGGCGTACAAGTTGTTAGAATAACCAAGTGAACCAAGCCACAAGTGAGCTGATGAGAGTTAACAGGACTATAGTGTTAGAATAACCAAGTGAAGCAAGCCACAAGTGAGCTAATGAGAGTGAACAGGACTATAGTCCAGTTTCAGTTGCTGAAGTGTTGTGTAAACTAATGAGTGTACTATACCTATAGTCCAGTTTCAGTTGCTGAAGAGCAACCAACACAGGACTTGCTACCTATGGGCGAGTCTATGTAAACAAGTGTAAACACTGCCTAAGTAAGTAAGGAATTCACATCACATGCTAAGTGAGAGTCCAATAGAGGAAGCAACATCATAACACAAATAACTCGCACCATAAGGTGCTCAATCACCACAACTAACAGGTTAATCATAGGTCAGATGACTTGACTTCCCGTACATAGCAAGTGTTAGTTGTGGTGATTGAGCACCTTATGGTGCGAGTTATTTGCCTTATATCATAACCTATTGCTCCAGACTTGCCTGTATTGCCAGACTTGACTTACTTACCTTATTAAGCTGTGTTTACATATGTTTACATATCTTCGACTGTAGGTAGTGAGTCTAGTGGTCAGTTGTTCCTCAGCAACTGACACTGGACTCTAGGTAAAGTCACTTCATAGTTTACACAATATATAAGCAACTGACACTGGACTCTAGTCCTATTAACTCTCATTAGCTCACTTGTGCCTTGGTCCTTCAGTGATTCTAACAGGTTATGAGCCCTGCGCTTTAAGGACCCTCCAATCACTCATTATTCAGCCAAACACTACTCCATCCCATTCCTTTCGGTTTCCATCGCATTCTACACCCTCAAAAGCCCCCAGCGTCGCATTTGAGCATAGTTTGGTCCACTGGAGCATCCATAGAGTTGTTGTTGAGCTACAGTCTGTGTCAGGACCCATAGTGCGCATTTTTCGCTTGTTTGTGCTACTGCTACCTATCCCTACACTCCCTGCTGCCTATCCCTACACTCCCTAATACATTCCCTCGCCTCCCTACGCCTCCGCCGACGTCCTGCATCACCTATACCACTCTGCTCGCCTCCCAGCCTCTTGCCATGTCTTCTGAAGATTCCAAGTCCCCCATCCATATCACCAAACTCACTTCCAGCAACTATCCTACCTGGAAGGGTGAAATGAAGGCTTATCTTCGCACCAAGGGCTTGTGGCTGCTTGTCAGTGGGACAGAGAAGCGCCCTGCAGACACTCAAGCTGATGCTCAGGCCAAATGGGATGTCAAAGCGGACAAGGCTGCTGGAGAACTGTACCTTGCTTGCTCAGTTCAGCAGAGGATGCACATTGATGCTGTCCAGGATGACCCTGTCTCCATATGGTCCACCCTCGCTTCAATCCATGTCCAGCAGCGTCCTGGAGCTCGCTTCAACGCCTGGGACGACTTCTTCTCTATTAGGAAGCAGCCTGATGAGCCCCTAAGCACCCTCATTGCTAGGATAGGAGAAGGCATGAGTAAGATCCAGGAGCTTCGCCCAAAGGACACTAGCAAGCCCTATTCCATCACTGACTTGGATGCTGAACTAGTCTGTATGACTATGGTTCGCTCCCTGGGTGAGGAATACAACCATTTTGCGTCCTCCCTCATGCTACTCAAGTCCTTGGACAAGGAGGAGCTCAAGTCTGCCTTCCTAGCAGAGGAATTGCAGCGCAAGCGTCGTCCTGAAGGTCCTACTGGCGACTCAGCCCTATTCACATCCTCAGGAGAATGTAGATGTGGCACTAACATTACCTGCTACTGTTAGTTGTGGTGATTGAGCACCTTATGGCGCGAGTTATTTGTGTTATGATGTTGCTTCCTCTATTGGACTCTCACTTAGCATGTGATGTGAATTCCTTACTTACTTAGGCAGTGTTTACACTTGTTTACATAGACTCGCCCATAGGTAGCAAGTCCTGTGTTGGTTGCTCTTCAGCAACTGACACTGGACTATAGGTATAGTACACTCATTAGTTTACACAACACAATAGCAACTGACACTGGACTATAGTCCTGTTCACTCTCATTAGCTCACTTGTGGCTTGGTTCACTTGGTTATTCTAACATAACCTTAGCGCTTCCACCTGGTACTGAGCATCAGAAGGCCCCTGCAATGATGAAGGACTTGTTGGAACGCTGGAAGGACATGTTGAAGGATGAACGTGAAGCCATAATGGAGGACGCTGTTGGAGACCTTAATGATCATTGAGAAATGAAGGAGCTATCTCAGCGAAATATCGCAGTAAGCTCTTTTCAAGATGGTAAATGAACATTAGCTTGCATTGATCATGAGGTATGAACATCAAATCTTGTACCAACTGCACATCTGACTCATTCTTTAAAATTTTAGCTTGCTGCTTTACATGCACTGACAGGCATGGAGATAATCATGCTTGCTGTGCACTCGGATGTTGACCACTTTAACCAACCACATGTATTTCATACCAAACGTGCTCGTGACTTCTTCACTGCATGTTTGAAATCTTCAGTCCATGACATTGCCTTTAGACTGGAGGGTTTTTGTGTTGCAGGTGTGAAAGGTCAGCGTAATCTTATTCTACAGGCTTTATTCAAGACTAATATTAGTGTTCTAGGTCTAGCCAGAACACACATCAAGGAGGTCATACAGTTAAAGAGGCAGATAAGCGAGTTAGTCTTGCAAAAACTTCGTTAGTTTTTCATTATGTTGCCTGTATGTGGTCGACTAATTTTCTACTTAGAGACTGTTGCTGCACCGCAGAAGGTTTCACGAATGTACTATCAAAACTTCAACACTAACATTACGGCTCAGTACCACATCATTATTGAGAATTGGCCGCTGGCAAAATTCTGTGCCCCTGGTGATATTAGCTCATGCAATAAGCTGTCAGTCCTTTGCCGTGCTTGGGAATCCAATGCTACTCGATTCCGCCGCCTCACTAACACTGAATTCGAACTCTGAGAGGAGGATCGTTCCAGGCAGCATTGGCGCTACAGAACGAAGCTACCATGGAGGGCACTCAGAACAAAGCTACCGTGGAGGGTACCCAGAATGAAGCTGCCATGGAGGGCACTCAACCAAGCTCACCCAAGCACCCACTCAAGTCGTCACCAGTCACTACAGACACTGCACACCCCAACAACACTGACCTGCAGACTCAACCACAGCCAGATGCTAACCCTCGTCCTTCTGGTTCCTCTCAACCTCGTGGATGCAAACACAAGGCCCCATCCACAGAGGTCCTGAACACCGTGTTCTCAAGCAACGGTGATGGTGTCCCTGTGCAGAAAAAAGTTTGGAAAGAGAGATCTGACAAAGGCAAGGCATGTGGACCATGGAAAAAGGTTCCTGCTGACGTCCCACAAGAGTCTGAGGTTCCTCCCGCATCTGCAGAGAGATTATTGTGCCAAGGACCATCATATTTTGCCCTCGCTGCCTGATACTTAGCCGTTTTGCCACGTTATGTTAATTACTATATGAAATTGATATATTTTCATGTGCAGTGCCCTTGTTAAGACCGTGCTCGGGCTCGGGGTAAAGTGGAGTCTGAGGGGCTTGGCTTCAGCTCGTACGCTGCGCCCCTTACCCAAGTACGTGCCCCTAATTTCGGAGTGTAGTCTGACACAAATTCTATGGGTTCCGACAGGACGTTGGAACGGGGGTCCTCTGAAGGAGGACCGACGGACTACTAGGTGAGCGCGGGAAAGTTGGGTGGGGGTTGTTCCGCCCAACAGGAGGGAAGTGGGAGACCACTGCGGTCGGAACCAACAGTAGCAGCGGAGCGGAAGGAACTTGCTTGGACAAAGTCCAAAGCAGAGCGGGATGAAGGGGACAGATGCCAGAGTGTGGGGTCTAGTATCGACATACGGGAAGTCGGAGGAGCGGAGGGACGGAGGAATGGGGGAACTGGGGAACGGGGGAATGGGATGGAGGATCGGAGGATGGCCGACCTAGGGAGTCAATCCCCTAGGCCGGCTTAACAGGAGTTAACTAGGATCAGGCCCAAGTCAAAGAACAGAAGAGCAGGGCTTAGAAAAGGTAATATTCAGACTGAGTATCTACAGACAAAGGTACATATGTTTATATACTCTAAGTGATGAGCATAGCATAGCAGAAGGCTATGTGCTGAGTGTACAGGATTACAATGGGATGACTGAGACATACAAGAATGAGGCTCGGAGAAAAGTATGTACACGACGGATCAGACTCGCTAGGGTATAGGGATTACTGGGGATCCGAAAAGTGGAACTATAATACTAAACAGGGATAGGACCAGTTGAGTGGTTCCTAGTCTAGGAGTGGACCGGTGAGGCGGTTGGACGGACTAATGGTCGGGCGGGTCAATACAAGCGGAACCGAAGGATCCGAGCGGGGAGGAAAAGTGGAGGGAGTAGGAGTAGGATCGGGCGGACCAATACGGCGGAGGAGCGGAACCCCAGATAGGGTCGGATGGAAGGGGTATGGTGTCAGAGGACATAGAGGTAATGTCGGAAAAGCAGAATGGAGTCAGATGGAGGTAGCAGGGCTAATCCTACTGAGATGCACTTTGTGCATTGTCGGGGAAGGAGGAATGAAGCGGACGGGGAAACAGGGGGTCGGGCCAGCAGTGGGGATGCTCATAGGAGGTACTGGGGGTACTTAGATCCGGTATATGACAGCCCTACATTGATAACATACAAGTGTGATAAACATAGTGACAAGAAAAAGTGAAAGAAACGGCTGAGAAACAAGCGAGTTATTGAGCTCGTCATGGATGACGATGAGCACGAAGGCCCTGGATGCTGCTGGCAATGACGAACAGCAGGTTGTGTGATGTTGTTGCCGTTTTGGGTATGTTTTGTTTGTCATACTCGGCAGCAAAGGACTGGTCTCACAGGTTGACTAAGTCCTTGTTTTTGCCGAAGGTAAGATAAAAGCATTTATTGGGGTAATTACTGGCAGTATAGGGATACAAGGCCTTCCGAGCTTATTAGCTTGTCATACCATACTGGGAATGACAAGCTAATAAGGTCCGGATCATGTGATGTTGAGGTGCCAGTAGCAAAGTACAGTGGCAAATAGACTAAATTGGGATTGAGGATGAAGATTTGAAAGAAGAGATACTTGTTCATCTCCAGTCACTTGGGAAATATGTGTCTGCCATGGTGATTGTTGATTATCTTGCATGGCCTAATATACAGCAGCATTTCAAACTCACAAAACTGTTT